GAAGTACTTGAAGCTTCAAAAGCAAATGAACGCAACTGCTGCGTCTTTGACTAATCGGGACTTCAAACCTATAAATACCGGGTTTGTGTCACCTAGCCTTAGCCTACAGTCTAAGGTGGAAGAGAAGAAAAGGCCAAGGGGAACCCGCGCTCTTAAGCTGCCCCCGAGAGACCCTCGCCGCGTCTGCGTCTACAATGGAAAATTGGGTCTCATTGTCCGACGTGCAAGAGCTTGTAAAACGCTCAAAAACATCGACTATCAACTGGATTGGGCCTGGGGGAAGTAGAAGCTCGACAACCAACGAATGCGCATCAGAAAAACAAATACATTTCATGCAGGCTGGGGAGCAGTGAAGAAGGACATAGAGGATAGTGTCGCATGGGGGGACTCCTCAAGGTTCACTTCCACATTGATGTGAGTTTGCGTTAATGATGAAGCATCGCTACCCTTGCTTGTCACTCTATGTGAAGTAAGCCTGTTACTGGAAGAGGCAGCGCAAATGTGCCATCTGCCCGTTCATTCTCTCGTCAACCTCCTAAGACTGAGGTTTGCAGATGGGCGGCAGAGCTCAAGGATTGGCAAACCTCCGATGGTAAATTCTTACTCCAAACTGGAATCAGGTCCTCACGGCGTGGTCTGTAACCTCAATGTTGGATTTTTCAGCCACAATTAAAACCTTTGTCTGCCATGGGGAACATAATGGAATGCGCGCATGCGGCTAAAAGTGGAGGTAGCTGTGCGGGGAAGCACCGGGAGTAGCATCATGTGGTCTCTTGAACAGCGCTCATGTAACCAAAGATAAATGGGGCACAGTTGGCGCATCAACATGATTGGCTGACGGCAAGTTGGCCATCTGCTGCTCTTCCAGCTCATCGTATTCAGCTAGTTTCCGGATCAGCCCGAAACTATACTAGGCGGCATCGGAAGCCCCCCCAGCAATAGTAGAATATGATTTGCGAGCCGGATATGCTACTGAAACAGGCTGAGTGCAGAAAGTAAGTAGAGCCTCCAAAATGTCTTCGTGTTGCTTACAAAAAGTTGTAAGTGACGCATGTGCATTAGCTTCAAACCCCTGGACAAAATCACTGTACAGAAAATAATGTGCCGATGTCTCGTATTTATGAAGTACCGAAAAATCTACAAGGACTAATAGCCCACCTATAATTGTGTAGCTACGATTCCAGGTTTCCTTTGGACAAATTTAGTCAGATTAGGCAAAACTTGAAGTGCTTAAGGCGTGGCAGTCACCGCTGCGCAGCAGCAAGGACTTGGCGATGCTCTGCGAATTCACGTCTTATCACCGTTCTTCACTCCGTAGATGCCCGAGATCGCTGTTGCTGTTATACATCCACAAATCACGTAGAACAGACGACATGAAGAGAGGAGGCTAGTGCCGCAGCAAGGATGCCGATCAGCCGTCTTACCACTCCTCCGGTGCTTGCGCTGACCGGCCATAAACGTCATTTCGTCCTAACAGCCTTCCTGGTGATGGAAACGCTGTGCTATTTATTCCAACACTCTACGGGCTGTCCAAAGTGCTGTTTCGTATTCTCGCAAATTCACTGAAACCAAACATCGGTGTCCAGTGCGACACAGCAATCGGTATGCAGTGTGGTGCAACCAAAAAATGCCGGCAGTAATCATGTGAGCGTCACTCTACTATCCCAATTGGCTGTCAGTCCTTTGTGCACAATACGAAGAGCTTCAGGGCTTTGATAATTCTAGAGTTGTTCGCTGCCTTGGGTGTCTCCTGCAGTAGGAAGGCATGCAAAGTAATTTGAGGGCGACCCCAGTGTGGTAGCCGACGCACTCTCGCGACGCCCCAGCGATCACTAGTGATTAGCGCTCCAGCTCCTGCCTGTACTAATACACGGCTCCCGTCGAAATTGCACAAGTCCTGTGCTTTTGACGCCAATGCAGCCGCTGCTATTCCCAAAATCCATCTTGGCTATACTGTGAAGTACTAATCGTTAGGCATGGCCTGCTACGGTTCAAACACAGCGCCGCCTCTGTCGCTTGTACAATCCTACTTCGCTCCACAGCATCGGTCTGTGCAAAGCACGTGACCGTGTAATTTTTTATCTCGGGAGGATTGATAGTACAATAGAAGAGCTCTCAGTGTTCTTCTGCTGGCTCAGGATGCGTCTTGCGGCCTAGCAGTACGCACCGTCACGCTCAGATCGTGAACAGCTGAAACCAAGTAACTGTCCTAAAGCGGTCTTTTGCAAAGCTTTCTGGCTGCTGGACGGATTCGGACTAATCCACCTCTATCCTGCACTGTTGGACGTCGGAAACTCAGTGCCAGGATAGCATCTGAATCAGTCTTGACAGACTCAGCAAAAATGCTCATTTCATCCCTTTCGCCGGCTGCGTCACGGCTCAGGGAGGTGAGCACTTATTCTTCCTCACCAATTTCCTGAAGCTCTACCGATCTCTTGTAAGCATCATTAGGGCTCAAAATTCGCATTCCGTAAGTGCATTGTTGCATGCCTTGGCCTGTTTATTGATCCATAATCTGACCGCTGCGAATGAGGTAGATGGACAGACACGGAGCACCAGTCACTTTTATGCAACGATTTATGACTTCTCACTCCTACAGGTTGCCTCGGCTTGATTTCGGTTTTGCTTCAAGTGGGTTTGCAGTATAGTAGTGCATTCGTCTACCCATTGCTCTCTCCCTTCCCTGCTTCACAATGCGGATGACCTGGCACATCTGGGCTTGGATCTGGTGGTCCACAGTAAGCAGTCACACGAAGCAGTGGACGGATCAGGAGAACAGCTGACTAGTACAAACGCATTTGGGAGCAAAGCTCAAGAGATAAAAGCATGAAATTTCGATATGTGGAGGTCAGCTGTGCGCCTTAAGCGTGGAGAGTTGGGTTCTAGTGGATATGCAGGCAGAGCGAGCTGCAGCGAGGGGTCACTAGTGGAACGAGTTTGAGACCATGTGGCCATAACCCTTGTGACGGTTATACCAATCGATGGCGGTTCTTGCTCTGAATGTTCCCCTAAAATTGGAGTGCCATGTAACTATTAAGATTGGTTTTTTAAAGTTTGAAGTATCCCAAAGTTATTCACGGGCTTTGTTCGGGCAGGCAGATTGTCCGCGTGGAGCAGAAGCCTCAGATGGAGCCGTAGAAGCTCTGGGGTTAAGCGGTACTTATTGTCGAAGAACACACTAGATGCGGCGGGTCGAGTACCCCTGAACATCTTTGTCTACACTACTTACATTTATTAAAGAATAAGCAAGCACTTGAGTAATTGCTTTGTGTTTCTGTGGATGTTTATTGCACATTACTGTCATCCCGGTACTCGAAGACGCAAGTGTTTTTTGCGTGTGCTCGAAGCAATGTGCAACTAGCTGTATGAATTACATGTAGTAAGGTCTCAGCTACTCACACGCTAGCTCTTTCCCTGCTCTCACTTCGGGATCCATGAGACGCGTACACGGGAAGGAGGAAGCTCTTCGATAGCACTTTATGACCTCCTACTACCTTTGCAACGAATGCGACGCTGAGTGGTTTCCTGGGAAATCTTAGATCAAGGGCTACAATAAGGATAAGCTGTGAGCATTGTATGCGCCGTATGCAATGTGCAACTAGCTCCGAAGACCTGGAATGCCTATACGGTGGGGTAACGCACTATTCAGCTCTCTGTCCCTTTCCCTCGATGCAGACACCCTGAGGGACAAGGCAGCGAGAGGGAAAAAAGAGCCCGTTGGAGCGACACCCAGTATCACCCTATAAAGTTGCATGTTTGGTTTTGGGCTAGTTAAAGACCTTATATTTGTTCAACGCCACTGACATCAGCGGTTAGACCCCCCTTAGGCTTCAAAAGATGCCATTTTCAAACCGCCAAGTGCAACCGGCTAGGGCAAAAGGCCTTGCCACATGAAAAGACAAGGAGCCAATCCGGAAGTACCGATAGCGGAGCTTTCACATCCGAGTCTTCCGGAGAATGGAGCCGCATTCGATGCATTTATACTGGGGCGTGACGGAAGGGGGCGCTCCCGAAAGCAGAAGAGCATACTACGCAACGCTAATCTACGTGGCAGCATCTATCACGCGTCCTCCCATTTATCTGAATGTACATCTGTCCTCAGGACAGAGAAGGTAGATTAAAACCTGCAAAGGATCACTGCTCCAAGGAGACGGAGCAGATCCAACTGCGCACGCATGCTGCGAGTGGGACTGCCTTTCCTACAGCCTAATCTCTACCACTGTCATGATGCAGACCTCAGGAAGTCTTTCATGGTGAGGGGGGACGAGGGGCTCCATTCTCCACAAGAAACGCTTTATAGCTCGTGATATCCCAGAAACCCGATATGTGCAGCTTGCCCACATTGCCGAGAGGTAGGTGTACGATAGGCCCCTCTTGTGGAAGCTTGTCTGACAAAGAGCTACACAGCTGCGCGCCACTGACCGCAAAAAGCAGCCATAACGTGATCTACAATAGGGGCACATGCAGGAAACAGACAAGAAAGCACCCTACCGTAGCGGCGGCGTCTAAGAACAAGCCAAGCCAGAGCACTGCGCCAGCAGCACCCGAACAGCAACTCTGAGCCTCGGGGTTCTCTAGAGAGGCGAAGAGACAGCGAAAACGATTTACAGCGCGGCCGATCGTGGCGCCAACGGTAAGTGTTTCGTTGGAAACACAAAAGGAGCCAAGAACGAATAACTCATCGGGGCAGAGCCTCGCGGATCCCAAACACTACGTATTGCGGTGCAAGCCGCTGCTGTGCCGATTGCTCTGCTGTTACAGGGTTGGAGCTACACACTTCACTACTAAAGCCCAGTATATTAGCGGCACAGAGCCGCCACAACTCGTGATATGCGAGGCTCCAGCGTGGACTAATGCAGCCCTCACGAAAGGGTGCATGCGTGAATGCGTATCCGTCCAGCCTCTCGCAACAAGTTCCTACGAACGGCGAGACCACATAAATCACAAGGGACGCGAAGAAAGCAAAACGCCACTTGCTGCTTGCTAGCCTATATTTTTTCCTAATACCCAAATCTGGTGCTCAGGCTGCCATGGTCGGCGGCGGCAGTACCGACAGCTCGAGAGGGCTGCACCTGCTGCATTTGCTGCATTTGCTGCTGCTGCTGCCGCTGCATCGCCGCAGGAACCGCCACATGCGAGCCTCGCTGCTGCGGGAGAGGAGCCGGGACTGTATCAAGAGTTGCCATGATTTTGATATTGGCGAGCAGCTCGGAATCCGCTGCAAACGAAGGCTCTGCCTCCGCCGTTGCTGGTGCTGCCACGGGAGTGGTGGTGGAGGGCGAAGGCCTCCTTCTATCAATGGGAGTAGTTGACTTCGACGCCACGAACGGTGGAGCCCTATAGAGCCTACTAGGCGCGCTGAAGCCACCCCTACTGCTCCGAGCCGCCGAAGAAGCCGCTGCAGCCGCTGCAGCCGTAACAACAGCTGCCCCTAAAGGTCGCCTTCGAGCCAGGGAAGTATTCGCTCTCGGCCCTGCAGCAGCAATGGCTGTGGACTGTCTGCGCAGTTGCCATCTGCTCCCCGCTGCCGCCGTGAGTCGCGCCCTCGAAGCTGCACTTCCCCGGGGGTAGGAGGCGTAACTGCCACTTCTGTTGCGACGCGAGGAGGCGCCCTTGAAGCCTGCAGCAGTCTTGAGTGTCTCGACGGCCTGCTGGTGCGGTGTGCGAGCTCTGCGCCGCATGCCGACGGTCGCGGCGAGGAGCTTGGAGGCTGCACTCCTTTGATTTGAACGGGCAGCTGAGGCAGCCGCAACGGCAGCATGCAGACGACCGCGTCTTACGTCTGCCTTGGATGCCAAGAAGGCACCGCGACGGGCTCCCAGCGCACTCCCACGCCGCTTCCCTAAGCCAGACAAATCGCGTCTTTTCTTCTCCTGCGAAAGCGGCTGCTTCTGCACCTGCTTCTGTCGCGAGGCCACCAATGCATCGAGCGGCAAGCCGATTTTGTCGGAAACGCTCATGTTGCGGCTCTTCTGGTGTTGCTGCTGCTTCTGCGGTCTGCCATCGAAAGCCCCTCTTTGCTGCTGCTGCTGAGCACTCGGACTCTGCTTGAGCTGCCGCTGCTTGGAGACATGCTTCATGATGCCGCCGCCCTTTCTGACAACACGCTGCGGTGCTGACCCTTTTTGAGGAGGAGTGAACGTTGCGGCTCCTCGGGGGCCCTTGGCGCCCCCCCCTCCGGCAGCCTTTCTCTGGAGCTTTATTAGATCATCAAGAGAACAATTTATCTTCGACTGGACGTCCATTGTGCTGAACACGAACCGCTTTTCGCTGCTACCGCTACTAGTTCTTTGCCTGTCGAGCGCTCTGGCAGGTTGATATCCCTGAGGGTCCTGAGACAACACAAACCAGAATCCTACACCCTTAACCCTAAAAGCTAATGCTGCTGCGACCTCTCCTGTGCTGGTTCCTCAACATCAGCCTGCGGGGGCCCCAAAGTGCCTCCCGACGCCGCAGCAGCAATACCCGCTATTATCGCATCCCCCATCAGGTGCTGTGGCGCTGTTGGGCGAGCTTCGCCCCAAGCGGCTGATGGCGAAGCACAGTGTGTGCAAGCGTCTGGGGGATATGGCCTCACGCAGCCGCTGCCGCAGCAACGAAAGCACCAGCCCCTGCCGCTTCTCGTGCTGCTGCTGCTGAGTAGAGATGGGAGGTGGGGATATGTCAGGCGAAGGAAACGGCCCAAAGGACGTGGGGGAGCTCACGGTATTTAAAAGCACAAGAGATGCAATTTATGAGGAAAACGCACGAAGAACCAGGAAAGAGAACCAGGGCATGCCAAGAAGAGAGGTGGCACGGGAAAGGAAGAATCAACCGGAGGAAGCTGCGAGCTGGAGACTGAGGTTGCAGCTCTCTACTGATTGCAGGTCAAAAGCTACAGAAATATGCATGCGTGAAGGGCCTATATGTATAAGCATGAAAGCAAAAGTGGGCAACGCCTTGAAGTGTCTGCGTACCCGAAAAAGAGAGACGCCACCACTGCAGGTGCTGCTCCACGCCTTTAACGAGTCTGATGCCTCGCTTTTTGGCTGAACTTGTCACTATATGAACAGAATAATAATTAGGTAGGACAAATACGCTATGAACTGTGCAGGCTCTGCTGCTGATTGCTGCTGCTGCGATGCTGCTGCTGCTGCGATTGCTGCTGCTGCGGTCCATACACCAAAATGCTGCTGTGTCCAGGTTGTACAGGCATGCATTATTACAACCGTTCGCATGTTTATGAGACTAGGCTTTACAAAATGACCCTTTCCACTATTCCACTCTTCTGAGTGGGCAGCGGATGCACCAAAGAGCAGAGCCGTGTACATCCTTCCGTAGACAGCAGGTGCCGCAAGATCGCATCTGTTGCTAAACGAGCGGCCCACAACTCGACATACGTGTAAAATGAAGGCACGCGAGACGGGCACCTCACATATCCATCATAGAGCAACACCCAGTGGGAACGTCTTAATAACTTTTATGGGCAACATGGCCTAAAGCGTAAAGATACACATTGGCGCCAATCCTACCTGTGTGATAGGCCAAGTAACACTTTAAAACGTTGCACTAGACAAATTATCTCCTATGATCTCCTATGAAAAGTAGTAGAGATCCGACTAATGTGCTTGTATGTTGAACATCTTCTCCCTTGCAAAGTGATGTTTCAATACAAAAGGACTCAATGCCCTCGGCGTGTGTTAGATGCGTAACGTACAATAAATATTAAATGCTCGGAGCACTCAAAGAGTGTTGCCAAACAAACACCATGTGGCTAATTAGAAGGGGTATGGGCAGGGCAAACCTGAAACGCTTCTAGGAAAAAGCTCAGTAATTTTGATCAGTTTGTATTTGGTATTGGTTTAAGTGTCTTCCTACGGAGACACTCTATGAAGTGTTACGCTTGGTGGCACCAGATGGCTCGATGCAATTTCCCCGCATATACAATAGCTGTACAGCAGTGGAAAAGAGCCTTCCCCACGAAAGGCGCCTGGCTTCGATAAAGTTATTTGGTAATTCAACTAGGAATTTCTTTGGCATAAGGCTCGGAGGAGAAAGCCATTTGGCGATGGAAGCCTTAGGGCGCCAGAAGCCGGTGTACGTGTGGACACGAACACACTGGCTTCACAGCCAGCCAAGCGAAATGATCTTTACTTCAATAAAATGTATATGGATCCATTGATGAGGTGGTAGAGACCAGAAATATATCACGGCCGTAAGGATGGACACGTAAGCGGAGACGCCTTTAGCCAGTCAGACCAGTTGGAGATGTGTCTCACTTTATTTTCCTCATGGAGAAGAGCAAGTCTTCCTGGAGGATTGTTTATTTAAACAAAGAACTTGTCTAACGTTGCCTCCATGCATGCAGGATAAGAAGAAGATATTGATACAGCTCAAGCCGTCTCACAGGCCCTGACTAAATGGTTTTGCGTAGATCAACGAAGCAGCAAGCATAGGCCGCGGTGAAAAAGCTCAAGCCGGAAAAGCTACCAATATACAAGTATATCGAGAAATATGGAGCATTGCTTCAAAACTGCCACAAAAACGAAATGCTATTCTTACATTGGTTTGTCTCAGGTCTAGCTCAAGTGTCATGCCAGGTGATCACAAGATGGGCACACACGCAGCGATTAGCAAACCGACAGGTGGGGTATCAGTAAGCAATGGACCACTTGAGACTTCAGATGCCAACGAGCGCAGCTCCTGCGCATGCACATTAAAAGGAAGATCCAATTCTTGGATCTAGAATCTATGGGTCTCGGGGCTATGTGAAGTGGCCCTAGCCTCCAGTTTAAGGTGGACCAGATACCAAAGCCGGAGGAAACCCGCGTCCCTATGCAGTTCCACACAGACTACTAGTCACTCACCTGCTCCTACAATGGGAAATGGGGTCCTACTGTCCATTTGGAAGTGCAAGCGGATACGAAAATTCGAAGAACTTGGAAAACCGGACGGGCTCTAGCGGTGCAGTGGCGAGAAAAGCTGAACTTTCCATGAGGGCACCTTAACAGAGCAGTAGAAGACAATTTTGGCCGAGCATTGTGTCTATGTATCTCCACAGCTGGTTCCTTACTAGGGAATTTTACTGAACTTGCAACATCATCGCTTTTGAAGCAGACTCTATATCACGGCATTCGATTGAGCCTTTAACCGAGGATCAGCAGGGATAAAGAAGCACTACAACAGACTTGGTGGATGGTGTTTGATAGACGCAATACTGGTACTCATCCTGTGTTCAAAAGCACCTACAGCACCCACGACGTGCGATAAAGCTTTTGAGGGACAACCACTGATCCGTGCAATCTCGCAAGTATTATTTTGACGCAAAAAGGTCACTTTCGAAGATTTCATACTCTGGATGTGCACATCAAGCCAGCTCTGGCAAAACTTGAGGCACTCAAGGCGTGGCAGTTACTTCTGCGCAGCAGCACAAACTTTGCGAAGGTCTGCTGGATTGCGTATTTTCATTCCGGATATTTCCGAGATCACTGTGCCTTTTATATATTCATAGACACCTAGAACATGTGATGCGTACTCTCTCCATCAGGGTTCGGGCTGTCCAAAGTGCTGTTTCGTATTCTCACAAATTCACTGAAACCAAACATCGATGTCCAGTGCGACACAGCAATCGGTATGCAGTGTGGTGCAACCAAAAAATGCCGGCAGTAATCATGTGAGCGTCACTCTACTATCCTAATTGACTGTCAGTCCTTTGTGCACAATACGAAGAGCTTCAGGGCTTTGATAATTCTAGAGTTGTTCGCTGCCTTGGGTGTCTCCTGCAGTAGGACGGCATGCAAAGTAATTTGAGGGCGACCCCAGTGTGGTAGCCGACGCACTCTCGCGACGCCCCAGCGATCACTAGTGATTAGCGCTCCCGCTCCTGCCTGTACCAATACACGGCTCCCGTCGAAATTGCACAAGTCCTGTGCTTTTGACGCCAATGCAGCCGCTGCTATTCCCAAAATCCATCTTGGCTAAGCTGTGAAGTACTAATCGTTAAGCATGGCCTGCTACGGTTCAAACACAGCGCCGCCTCTGTCGCTTGTACAATCCTACTTCGCTCCACAGCATCGGTCTGCGCAAAGCACGTGACCGTGTAATTTTTTTAATCGCGGGAGGATTGATAGTACAATAGAAGAGCTCTCAGCGTTCTTCTGCTGGCTCAGGATGCGTCTTGCGGCCTAGCAGTACGCACCGTCACGCTCAGATCGTGAACAGCTGAAACCAAGTAACTGTCCTAAAGCGGTCTTTTGCAAAGCTTTCTGGCTGCTGGACGGATTCGGACTAATCCACCTCTATCCTGCACTGTTGGACGTCGGAAACTCAGTGCCAGGATAGCATCTGAATCAGTCTTGACAGACTCAGCAAAAATGCTCATTTCATCCCTTTCGCCGGCTGCGTCACGGCTCAGGGAGGTGAGCACTTATTCTTCCTCACCAATTTCCTGAAGCTCTACCGATCTCTTGTAAGCATCATTAGGGCTCAAAATTCGCATTCCGTAAGTGCATTGTTGCATGCCTTGGCCTGTTTATTGATCCATAATCTGACCGCTGCGAATGAGGTAGATGGACAGACACGGAGCACCAGTCACTTTTATGCAACGATTTATGACTTCTCACTCCTACAGGTTGCCTCGGCTTGATTTCGGTTTTGCTTCAAGTGGGTTTGCAGTATAGTAGTGCATTCGTCTACCCATTGCTCTCTCCCTTCCCTGCTTCACAATGCGGATGACCTGGCACATCTGGGCTTGGATCTGGTGGTCCACAGTAAGCAGTCACACGAAGCAGTGGACGGATCAGGAGAACAGCTGACTAGTACAAACGCATTTGGGAGCAAAGCTTAAGAGATAAAAGCATAAAATTTCGATATGTGGAGGTCAGCTGTGCGCCTTAAGCGTGGAGAGTTGGGTTCTAGTGGATATGCAGGCAGAGCGAGCTGCAGCGAGGGGTCACTAGTGGAACGAGTTTGAGACCATGTGACCAGGAGCATTGTGGTTCTCTCACAAATGAACTCTTATTCTTGCCCAATAGCTCTCCCCCAAAGTTGGAGATGCCAAAGAAGTAAAAGATGGCTCCATTCAAAGCTCCAAAACTACTCATCTTTTTCACCGGCTTTGTCGATCAGACAAGAGATTCCTGTGGAACGGAGACTATACATGGGGGTGTAGATGTTCCAAAATATATTATTACGGACCGCCGAGAAAGACACTAGATGCAGCAGACTGCTTACAGTTGACCATTCTCGTCTACACTGATTATATTTAATAAATAAATTAGCAGTCACTTGACTACGTGTTCTGACTACCCACACATTTTCCTTCTTCCATATTACTGTTGTCGATACAAGAAGACGCTCTGTTGTGTGCGTTGGCCGCAGGTGCAATATGCAACAAGCTGTGGCTACCAGGAGTGTTTGAAGGCTCTAGCTATGCACACACTCTATGTTGCTCTTCCGATATCTCGGCATCGTGAGAGGGGGGCAGTGCAGGATGGCACTTCCTCGAAATTGCCCTCACTAGCTTCCTAGTATATTTGTCATGCATGCAGAGTTAACCTTTTACCTACAGAGACAACGGATGGACCATTACACGTCCTCCCATTCAAAAGTATGCATACACGTGCATGTGTTTCTTTCTCGTAATTCCTGTGCTTCGTCTATATGATATACCAGCTTCGCATGTCGAGTTCTCCCTTGGTTGTTTTCCTTTGTATGCTCTGGTTGTACTGTTAGCACAAATTTGATTTCCCTACATCTTTTCTTTTGTACTCATAAGCCCCTTTTGGCAGTGCTGTTCGGTGATTCTTATTCGGCCAATACGGCATTTTTTGTTGCTTGCATCGTGTCCTTGTGTACAATGGCAGCTGTATTTTATTCTGATTTACAACCCCTACTCACCTATTCTCCTGTCACACGCTGAGGCCCTCTGCAACACTAGACAAGCAAATGTTGCTGTGTCATCGTCCAGCGATCTCCGTAAGTACTTTCACTCCACGACTATGTGCTGGCATTCTACCGCTTTAGGTAGGGCCCACAGCAAGACCAGGCGTGTGCCCGACATTTACGAATGCGGAATTTACCATAAGGCACACAGCAGGTGCTGTATCCGCTGCGCTCTGTCTTCCCTTTGATGAATAGTTGCAGCGAACGTCAATAGAGATGACGGCTCAGGAGTGACTGCTTTCTGTGCTGTGCTGCAGATTTTTTGGCGGAGTTACGATTGACAGAATGCAAAAAACACTAAACTGAAAGAAATTTATGAATTGTGGCTGGCTGTACTCGCCTCATGTGGCTATTTCCCCCCTTGAAGGGTGTTTAGTCACCAGAAGGCCAAAGAATACTTGCTCAGTTTTGTGTGCTAATTTCATTGGGTGGCAGCACTACCCCCAACGGTGTGTATTCACCTGGGGACCCCTCCGGTCCTTCTTTTCGGAACAAAGTAGTTTTTTACGAGATTGAGGTCTAAAAAGTGACATTGCCATTTCTTTCAACATCGCCTTACCTAAAGATGAAGCTGAATACTGTGGCTGCACATCAAGGCCGTTTCGATAGAAGAAATGAAGCCGTCTGTTGCCTTATTAGAGAAAAAAATCAAAGCGAGACTAGTCCATTAGTCATTTTACAAGCATGCAGCAAAGATTTCTGTATATGCGTGCGCATTTCTCAGCTCTTTCCTCGCCTACCCCATCACTGAGGGATACCTTCGTGGCCCCTCGACTGCACACCGATGTAGGCCCAAAGATAAGGAAACTAAGGATCTTGGGGTGCTTGAGCAGTCAGTTATCATATTTTCAAAGCATTACCGCAGCGTTTTGATTGAATAAAAGGCTATTTCTTTGGAGGCCTACCTGCACGCCACAGCGATTCAGAAGTTTCGCGAGTTGCCATCGTGCGGCCGCCCCCGTAGAGCCAGTGCACCCTGCTCCACCACAAATATATTTCCCTTTATATGTGCTCGGTGTCTGAGGCTATTGTATTATAAATTATGTTTCCTTTGTGTGCGGCATTTCTTCAGTCGGTGACCTGATGCGCTGCCCTCTATGCCTCAACCCTTTCGCCTTCTCCCTCTGCCTTTGCTCTTCCTGTGTTCTCTTCGCTTCCTGCCCTTCATCCCTCCCCGCTTTTTGCCTTCTCACCCAAAAGCCACAGTACCTTATGCCGCATGTTGCTCTTCTCTTGTTTTTGGCGATGATCTCCGTCCTCCGCGGATAGTCCCCTTCCACAGGGGCCTCCTACCCCCTGCATAGGGCCTGCACTTTCCCAGCGCTCCCCCCTCCTCTCTCCAGTCCTTTTAATGTCATTTCTGCCAGTAGACCACCTTTTCATCCATACCATTCCCCGTCCCCAAAGCTCCCTGCTCCTCTCCTTCAGTCCCAAATGGAGTGGACCTTTCCCGCCCCCCCTCATCCAGGCGCCCGCTTCGCCAGCTACACCCCAAACTCCAGCCATCATAAGAGCAGGCCGACTGCCCCAATACTTGCTTGCTCACCTGCAGATATGCTCGCGGAGGAGTGCGCCTCCCTGTCCTCCTTCTCAACTGCGTCTTCTTTCCCCTCGCAGCATCTCAGCATTGAGAGATCACAAGGCGCAAGCCCTACCCTTACAGGAAACCAAGAACGAGCACCTCTAAGTCCCCCCATGACGCCGCCTTCAGGTAGCCTTCTGAGCATTAGTGCCCCCCCGCTTAGCGCAGCTCAGGTGCCCCCCCCTTCCCCCTCCGGACCGCCTTCCGCCCCTTTTCCCGGAGCATCGTGGAGGAACGCTCCGTCAGGTACTCCCGAAAGGCCTCTTGCAGAAACGCCACTTGGATCTCTCACAGAGATCTCGCCAGCGAGCCCCCTTTATTCCTCCGCGCTGTGGAATCCAGCAGCTGTGTTGTCGAACTACGCGGATCTCTTCAGCTTCGTGCCTTTAGAGCCAACGATAGTGGCAGATAGACGCCGCGTATTCCACAAAACACAGCTGTGCAAGCACCTGGAGAGGGGCTACTGCAGAAATGGCACTTCCTGCCCGTTCGCGCACTCGAGAGAAGAACTCAGGCCCCCTCCCACACTCTCGAAAACGATGATTTGCCCCGACGTCAAAGCGGGAGGCATTTGCCAAAGAGGTATGCTATGATGCGCATCCAAAACGCTTAGACTCGCTCTAATCGAGATAGACCAGCTCTCACGTTGCGCTTAAGGCTTTCATGCGGCATGTGTGTGTCTGCGAGACGCGAGATGGGTGGCTCTAGATGCCTGAACAAAAGGAGGCAACCCTTAAAAGGCTTTCAGAGACCTTTTTCAAATGCTTCGGCTGATGTGTTGTTGGTGCTCTTCGTCTTCTTGTTGAATCCTGTTTCTGAGTGCGCCCTCTTTTATCCCTGTGAAACTGACCTGACGCACTCTTCACGTTCATGTGTCTTCCTAGCGGCTGATTCTGGGTGTGTATTACTGCCTTCCCTTTCATCAAACCGTGTATATGGTTGGTGTGGATAGAAGAATGAATGACTGCGTGCCTTGCCTTTTTTTGTCTTAATTCTTAGCTGTTTTCATCTCCCTTTTGTTGCACCGCTCTCAATTTTTCGAGGCCCCTCTTGGGCTTTGTCCAGTACACGAGGGAACTGAGGCCATTGCACCCCCTTCCGCGGTGTCACTGGTTTCTGTTTCTTGTCTGTGCGTGATGTGCTCTTGCGACTCCTGAGTGCTCCTATCCAGATGCTTGCTTCTAGCAAGCATCTGGTCGCTTCGTGGATCCGTGCGTTTTTTTCGCGCCCGATTGCTCTCTGAGTTTTACCCCTATTCGTGTCTCTTTCTATCTGTCAGTCTCCTTCTGTGCTTCCATCTGGCATGTGTATTATGTTCTCTCTGTCGTATGCTACTTTATCCTTGTGTTCGCTGCAGTCATGAGCGGGCAAAGCTGCTCCTTTGCGCACTGTAGCCAGGAGCTCCGCCAGACAGCGAATCACTACAAGACAAATATGTGCCGATCCTTCCTTTCCGGTAAATGCCTGAAGGCTGACAAGTGCACGCATGCCCATGGCGAGGTTGAGCTGCTGCTCCATAGGCATCGTGCCTTGCAGCTGGGTAGGAGAGACTTCGTGGGCGAAAGAGATGCCGCCCGACCTGAACGGAAGCCTTCTCTCAGCAAGTTGCTGCATCACAAGCAGCAGCCAGAACAGAAGGCCAAGATGGGAGACGGGATGGCTTTTTGGCATGCAATGGACCCTAGGGGAGCGCAGACAGGGGATTGTGCGTCCTACGGCTCCTGCAGCAGCGGCGGGCAGTGGAGCTGTTGCACAGATCCTGCACGGCGGGAAGATAGAACATCCGTGCAGGATGCGGCTCAGTCCGTCTGGCCACACGAAACATGCACGAGCGACTTCCAGCAGGACCCACCACAACGCCTGCAGCAGCTCCTTCAGCAGCAGCAGCTCCTCCACCAGCTGCAGCAGAAATATCAATCGCACGAGACTTTAGAGGGCTCCTCTTCCCCCGCAGTTTCAACCAACACTTTGGATATAGCGGCTTTGCTGCAGCTTGCCACAGAACTTAAGTCTCTGCTTCTTTCAGACTCGCGCAAAGATGCTGTACAATAGATTGCACGCCTCCTCAAGGCGTCCTAAAACTGTCTGTTACTTCTCCGGATCCGCCAAAGGCGGAAGAACGGCAAAGGAATCGGATGTAGAGAAGGAAGGAGGTGGACAGAAGGGACTCTTAGGGACCACATAACGGCAACGGCATCCCTCTTGGTGTAAGGGTAGGTACCTGTTGTTTCGTCAACCAAGTGCGCGGCTGTGGTGTTGCATGCGTCTCGTTTGTGCTTCTTGTTGCGGAGGTACTTACACTCTGATTCTCTGTCGCTTGTTCTCTAATAACGGCTTGATTTGGATTGCTGACTGTTTCATCGAAATGTTAGTGGTTGCCGGTTGGTGCACGTTAACCCGACGATGGATGCCTGCCCACACTCCCCAGTCCGGGGGGTATAGAGTCAGCTCTTCGCTTTCATTGCATATCTCACTTTCTTAAAGTTCAGCTGAAGTATTGCTTGCTGGATCCTTTATTTGCGTACTATTTACTGTGGGCCCTTCGAGTGCCAGTCTAGAGCTTATGACTTCGGAACTCCGAAGTATTTCATTTGCAGCAAGTTTTGCTCGTGAGTGTCTACTGCTCTACGCTGTCTCTGCATCTGCCAATGCTTCCTGTAAATATCTAAAATGGTATTTAATCCTCTAAGAAAAGTCTAGTCATGGTTTCGCAGTTATTTGTGCTTCCGATTGTTTTCTTTTTATTAGGTGGCTGTGCACAGCAGAGAGAATAGCTTCATGGGGCGCCCCTTTGTGTTCGATTTTGAATTCATTCCATTTGATTATTTTTCTATAGGATATTTGGTCCTAATGATGCTCTTTATGATTCCTTGCGCCCCTCCAGCTTTCTCATTTTCATCTCTTCTTCGTTCATTGTTGCGCTCGCAATGAATGGACATGTAGCTTCTTCATCACTTGCCTGGTGTAGTAATCTCCAGCTCCCCTAAAGCCTTGTGAATTAATGCTAAGGCTGTCGTTAAATAACCTTTTTGGCGGTGCCCAGGCATAATCTGGGAATTCAATGAAAATACCTTTCTCAGTACTCGCCAAAGCGGCCACGACACTGAATTTGTTATTCGTGTGTAAAATTAGAGCTTGGCAGTCGTCACACGTCTCCTAAGGCCCCATAGGTAGATCTTTAGCCCCATGCCCTATCATAAGACTAGAGATCATTGATAGGAGAGTTCGCGTCCATGAGCTCCCGCCGCTCCTTACCCCTATCATCACCCTAATAAGTTTCTTCCTGAGTGGAGAAGGGGGCCGGCTAAGGGGAGCGCACTTTCATGTCATCTGGGCATTTTAATCATTTGCACACATAACATGTTCTCAACTCATTCAAGCACATGCACAAGAAACACGAACAGAGACGCATTCTCAGTTAGTATGCCTCCTTCGTAAAACGCGCAATAAAAATGCTGTTTCTTCATACTGTAAGTGCCACAGGAAACTTGCTTCATACATAACTCGAGTAGACAGAACTGCCGCACAGTTCCTTGGTTCGCTCCATACGGCAGACCAGTTACTGTAGTATGGAGGCCATCAGGACACATTTTGTTTAAGAGTAGACTAGCATTATTTGTAGCCTGCCACTAGAGGTCTACCTAGATCCTTTCGGGTCCACCTACAACTCGGATTCGAACAGATAATTGAGTTTCTCGCCTGAAAGAGCTCCCCAACAGCACGATTAGCAACAATTAGCCATTTTCTGATACAAAATTTACTCCATACGCTATAATTATCCAAGATTTTGTCAAGAATTGACTGACGTTTTTTGTCTGTTCATGTATTCTGCTTCGTGCGACGTAGTAGCCCGATACAAGAAGACGCAATCTTGTCTGCATGTGCGCCTGATGCTACGTAGAAAGTAGTTGTCAGCGTTCAGAGCTTTTCGCGGTTGCAGCGACGGTACTCTAGTTGTTCCTCTCCTCTCTTACCTGAGCCATGAGGGTCTAGGCCAGGGAGCGAAAGGGGGAGCGACCTTCTGGTTTGTATTGGGCTCAAGGATTTAGGTATCTCCTTGGGTAGGGCCTCAGAAATGCACTGCAGTTAATGCAGCATAGCGTTTTGGGAAGGTCAGCAAAATCTTCTTTTTGTCGCCTTCGATGTTTGTCTCAACTACCCCCTGCCGCGTCTGTGATCTTCTTCAAGACCGTATTCGATATCCAGCCCTTTTGCCTGCGCTTCTGTACAAACGCACAAAGCTTTCCTGTCTCACAAAGCCTTACTGGCTGCCTCCGCCGTATCCGTTACTCAAACCCAAATGCCTGTTAAGCAAATATCACCAGTGACGTACCTTCTATTGCCTCGCCTGTTTATAGCAGTGTCTTTGCCATGATGCACTCTCTACTGGCAGCGTCCTTCTTGATGCATTCTATAGGGATACATTCCAGCGAGGTTTCTTTAAAAATCCAAGGGCAAACATGCCACGAAGATTACACGTGTAGTACAGTCAGCATCGCGTCAATATGTGTATTGGAAATGCCGTATCCTTGCACAATACAATATCCTCCTGGAATGCTCCTATTCCTGTACTGGGCGGTTCCGGGGGCTAAAGTTTACTCGGTACAGTGCACGAGCTGTATGACCTTTCAAGTTCTACAGATGCTCGCATTGTTCATAATGCAAATCCACTAGCCCCTAATACTGCGCTCATTATATCACGCCAGGGAAATTTTTGAATGTGGTCACACCAACTTCGATAATGGATGTATAGAATTTAGCTTCAAATGGCTGTAAACACTTGTCAAAGTCGTACACGCTCCCGTAGCGTTGTCTCGAACGAGGCTGTAAAACCTTAATTGCAATCGGATTACATTATTCTGACAAGCAAATCCCACTCACGTCGAATTTACATAGTATACAGGACACGTTAGAGCCCTGCTGCAATAGGACCGGTCCTTCTAGAATCCAACCAGTGTGCAGTACCGAGAAAGGCATCGTGTCGCTGCTCCAGGAATATCTCGCTCCAGCTGGCCAAACACTTATGGTCGTTGAAGTTTTCTAGGCTCGAAAGTTCAGCCAACTCATTCTTCGTTCATTTCGGCCAGCCATGGACCGGCTGATGTTCGTTGTAGGCTGTAGAGCACGATTCGCTGTGACTCTGAGCACAATTTGCTGTGACTCTCTGGCAGCGAGATGTTCACGTATTGCTGAACGCCGTTAAAATCTCCAGGCTTGAAATTCCAGAGCTGCCTGTATGAGATTTACAGGCGATAGGTGTTGTTGCCAAAGGTTGTGAGGTGGGAGGGCCTATGTCTGTTGCAAACTTGTGCCGCTGTAGGGATTGAACCACGAAGACGTTGGGAATAATAATGCTCACGCACAGCTTTCCTGATAAAGCTACGGATGTAAGACAGTCTTGTGCTAGACCTCAGACAACTTCTGGCTTTCGTTGTGCTCACTATTGTAGTATTCGCCACTTTGCAATGGCTCCCAGTACGCCCAAGGTACCAGATCAGACAAAGCTTCCAGAGCCTGACGGTAGGCTTCCGACATTTTTTTGTATTCAGAATGTAGCCGTTGGTTGGCGTTCATCGATGGAAGCGAGGCATCCAATAGAAAATAGTGAGCCCTGCCAGCTTCAATAATCTCATCAAGGTTCCCCGATCCTTGGCCACCTTTCTTTATATAGTCAAGCAAGAACGCCATGCTAGCTAACAAGTTTTTGGAGATATTCTCGACTTCATTGAGGCTCCCAAAAGGTTTCACTGAATTGGGAATAAGGCGCCGTGAGGGTCCACCAATTGTCTTCTGTTGAGCTTCACTTCCAAGCATACTGTCCTTTGCTGGGATATCCGCTGAAATTTCGCCCATCAATGAGTCCAATTCCCCAAGCGGTTTTCTTAGCATTTCAGAGTAGTATTTTTCGCCGAGAGCTCTCAACGGGAGAAGCAATAATGCAGTATCCTCAATAGCTTCCAGCGCTTGATCCGCTAGGGCTGCACGCTCCTGTGCCCCCATACCACTATTTTTACTGCGCGACAGAGTGGAAACCCAATTTTCCAGTTTATTTAACTTCTCATGCGCTAGTATATGTAGCAAGAGGCTCTGGTAGTCGCTCATCCGAAATGAAAACCGCTTCTCTGGGTAAAGGACTCGCTCAGCTGCAGCCAACCCTTTTGCTGCTGTGTCACTCAGCTTTCTACCACTAGCCAGAGCATTAAGCATCAAGAAAGCCGCGAGCTTTTTCTGATTTGGATCATATGCCAATGAGTATAGGACTTTCTTGTGTTCTTCATATTTCGCCAAAGCGACCTCCAGACGCTTTTTCCCCGCCCGAAATGCCGATCGCAGTGTCGCAACTCGCTGATTTACAGAACCTCTGACACCAGATATTTTATCGAATAACCTGTGGCTGATATCTGCTTGCCCCTTCATCCCCTCCACTAAGATCTTCAAGCTCTCATCTGCTGCGATGGCAATGCACACGATCCCAAGTGCAACACTGATACGTGCGCCCTCCGATTGTGAGAGACTCAACATATCTGGCATATCAAGTTGAAGGAGATCGCGCTGCTGTGCTACATCGTTGAGTAATGAGTAGTCACTACTTCTGTCGTATGAACTGCTTTCGTTGGCGTCCCCCACACAGTACTCATAGCCTCCATTTGAAAGACTTCGTTGCTTAGCGCCTCCTCGTGATATGTAGTCCCCGTTGAGTGCATTGTAACACTTTGTGACTAGGAGAACAACTACAGACACGGTAAAGAGCGCTGCGAAAGCAACCAGCGTGCGCTGACCTGAAGAAGCATGCGAACAACGCTTGGTACGAGCGTGTGCTTCCTTACAGGGAAGGCCCTGCGGGACTGGAGCAGCAGAAGTGTCAAGCACATCAGAGCCATTCTTTTGAAATATCAGCCCCGCATTTCCTGCCATCGGCCACAACACGACACACACTACCACTAATGCGCCAACCGTGCATGCCTGCATGATTCAAGTGTAGACAAATCCACCAGAAAACAGGTAGTTGGTCCCATACCTCAGCGTAGCTATCCAATGTGAATCTACAAGACAGGCTGTCTGTTGAAGAAGGCCCTGAAACAGTGCGCGTAGTAGAGTAGGTTGAGAGCCCTTCCAGTGGTGTGCAGCTGTCACAACAAAATAGAACGCCAAGATTGAACCAAAGAAGTTCCTTTTCCTTGAGCTGTACCAAGGATGTATTTACAATGATATAGCGTGGAAACTTGCATGGATCATGCCTTTTGTTTCGTGGCTTACCAAAACGGTCTGTGACGTCCTGTTGATCAGTGCGATGAATGATAAGTGCTTAACGCTATGTGTGCCCGCTTTTCTATTCTCGTTATAGTCTTCGATGACAATATTATCACTCTTTATGGCATCCATATTGGGGTTATAAACGATGGCTCGGAGAGATAGCTGTTTACGGTTGCTTCACACGCAGGGACTGGGGGACTCGGAAACGAGACGGACGCTGTCCTTGCTGAAGGCGTGGGAAAGCGTTGCTGAGTCTACTAGAAACGCTATCTTTTAGCAGCTATATCTAGCTTGTATGCGTGTCAATTAATGCTAGCCTTATTAGGAAGCCTAAAACCTTGAAGATATGAGCATTGTGCTGCCTGCATAGCTTCGGGAATTTCTAGCATAGCAGGAACGATGGGATGTTCCGGCGAAGAAATATGGGATAATACGCGCTCTACCATTTAAACCTTTGTTGTACTAGACTGATGCTGCAAAGTAAAGCATATATATATATGTATAAGTGCGCGTTTCTAGTTTCTTTTTTTGTGAGAAAGCGGGGGCAGGGAGGGCATTCGCTTCGATTCTTCGACCCTCGCTACCTTCAATCGTACCGAATGCCGCCAGCTTCCGGCTGCGCACCCCATCAGTAGCAGACACGTGCCTCTTGACAATGTTGCCCTTAGTAAGGTGTTAATTAAGAGCTAATTTGGGTGCTTGGGAGCCCGCGTATGGCGTCGAATTTGTAGCTCGCTTGACTGGACAACCGAGTGGTAGCTGCTAATTTCTCATATTCACTGAAATATGTTCAAAATTTGAGTTTGTCCCTTCGACATCCTTATTTCTTGGTCGTTGCACAACAGGGCTAGCGTTGTACTATGTCGTATCCGTGCATCCGCGAACGCGTTTTGCAGTAGTGCTTTTGGCGAGGTAATCTAGAGTTAAACACTTCCTACAACACTGATTTTAGCTATATAAAAATATCAAAGAGCTCTTAGTATGCTGATGAGGTTTCAATCAACAACTAATATTGGAGCGTGGGAGCCCGAGTATGGCGTCGGATTTCGAGCTCGCTTGACTGGACAAACGAAAGGTAACTGCTAATTTCCTCCTTCTGCTTATATTCACTAGAACATAATAAATAATTGAGTTTGTCCCTTCGACATTCTTATTTCTTGGTCGTTGCACAACAGGGCTAGCGTTGTGCTATGTCGTATCCGTGCATCCGCGAACGCGTTTTGCAGTAGTGCTTTTGGCGAGGTAATCTAGAGTTAAACACTCTCTACAACACTGAGTTTAGCTATTTAAAAATTATCAAAGAAGATGCTAAAGGCTTGTCTGTTCGTATATCATATTTCTTGCTGAGTGTTGTTGGCTCGATTCAGAAAGGCACGGTATTTCTGAATGTGGGCTTTTGTCCAGTGCAAGTAGCTGTGGATGTTCGGATCAAGGGTGCAGTACAGCGCACAGTAGCTGTCCCTTCCCTCTACAACTGAAAACTTTGATAGTCTGGGGCAGGCAGGCCTGGAGCTCTTTAGTTCGAAGCCGAGTGTCTCCCACGCAGACATCAAATAGGGCGCGACGTTGAGAGTATATTGTTTGGTTTGGTGTAGCTTCCCGCGCTGAGGCACAGGCTCCGGATGCAGTAAATTTGCCAGAATCTAGAAAAAGAGCACTTATCTGGTTTTAATTAGATTATTTTTTGTCGCATTGATCTGATGCTCGTTGGCAAAGTGTTGGAAAGGAACACTTTGGGGATGGAAGCGGATGGTGAATGACACAAACACAACTTGTATCACTTTAGCTAAGGCCATTATAGCGAGGAGCTTCACTTCAAACCCACTACAAACTCGATAGAAAGTAATTGAGGATCAGAAAGGAATTCCCTCTTTACCGCGCCCCCGCCTCCCAAAGCTCCCAACGTGAGGGAAACTGACATAACCGTATACACAGCTGCACCTTCCGTGTTGCCAACATATGTAAAATATTCAAGATGTCAGCCCAACATGTTACCACCGTTCCAAAAGGGCTATACTGTTGAAAAAAACCGGAGGGCCACGCCTGAGCTAATTTATTGGATCCCGAGGTTTTCAAGGTCGAACAGTGTTCATTTTAAGAATATGGACCCTCTTTTAAGACAAGAATTAGTGTTTAAATGCTCTGTGATCTTTTTACAGTGGCAGCAGGGCCTGACCTCTGGCGCATTTGACAATGTGCTCTACACTTTGCGTACATCCGAGATGAACCACTGATAAGGCCACTATTCCTCTATGCTGTGGTTTTTGCCAACAAAGCTTTTATATTTCTCGACACACTTATCTATTATTAGGATCCTTGCATCTTATTGCTCGACCCTCCCAAACCTTGCTGTTAAGCTAACCTCCGCACAGACCGAGGAGTCGCAAGCAGCACCTGTTTTCCATCCGTAGGCTCGAAAGCGAGGTGCATTTCCAGCCGGTTGAGAAAATCCTCGAGTTCTTGCCCATCGTTGCCGGCGTCATACTTTTATAGTCAGCACAGCCTCACCGACTCACTCACAAACATTTTATCCACTTAAAAATCATGCCTTTCTGACGGCTGTGGAAGGTATTGCTTCTTGAATAGCCTGCAGCTCAGCCTCTGCCAGCCCAACAGGCGCCATCCCGCCTCCACTTCCATCGATGATCGGTTTTCTCCCAGCCTGCCGCCAAAACCTTAAATTAACGAATACCGTACAAGTTGATCGAAGCCTAAAAACTGTTGTATGGAGGCCTGACACACTACTGGACTGACAGCGACTGAATGAGCAGGGAGCAGCTGTATCGAACCATGCAGTTAGCAATTGTAACGCTGCATATATAGTCTCCGTAGGAAAACACTGAGCTCCGGCCTCTATATACTGAGCCGAAGCTTCTTGAGTGCCTTCTTAGGTGAAATTTCTCTTTTCCCCGCTTCAGCTCCTCGAAAGGATGCAGTTGCGCACACCGTAGTTGTCCCTCTTCCTTTATGTTGGAAATTTTAAGCATTCCAACCGTTCACAACTAGTTGCAGATAGCATGTAGCGCACATGTACGCTTCGAGCCTCGTTGCGTCGAGTTAACAGTCCTCCGCAAGAAAAAAGACAGAAGTACACAAATCAATCAGTAAGCCCTTAAATTCTTAATTAAATTGAAAAATGGTTGGCCCGCTTGCGCAGTTACTCGCACGCCGGTTTAACCCCTCCTTCCAAGGGCCCACAGTTTTGCGGGGTGAAAGCAAGGAGAATCTGGAGCTTTTTAGGTAGAAGATTCACTTGCGGAGAAATCAAGAGAAGCGCTGCACGGGTGTAGCCACATGAGTTGCCTTACGCCATGATTGCTTTGGATGGCATCAATATATCCCCTCCTCTCATGGGAGTGAGATGCGGATCCTCATATGTACTTTAATTCATGTACAAAGCCTATTTATGAAGCGTCCATCCCTCAAGGGGAACCCACGCCGCAGCAGCCGAGTCCCATAAAAACATGCAACCCAGCGTCACGCTGTCAGAAGAAAGGGAGGGTTTAAGCGTAATTAAGCATTAAGCATAGAAGAAAATACGTACAACACGACTGCTGTGTACACTAAGCGGGGGATCTAGGCTCAAGAGAATGACCCTCCTCCTTGGCGGATGGGTCTGTGTAGCTACCGTTGTTGCTGTTCCTGCTCCGGGGTGCAGCAGTCGGCGCTGGCTGCTAGTTTGGCTCTGTGTGGTGGTGTATTCACGAAGCTTGAGGACATCAGTTGCTATTAGGCAAGCTCATTGAGGTGGTCGTTTCTGCACCTCGATCTATATCTCTCCAGCGGGTAAAGCTTTCCTCACGTTTCCAAGCGAGGGCGCCCCCTGCGGCGGGGGGTTCCCTCCTCTGTACTCTTCTGCGTCTGCGAGGTTCTTTTCCCGTTGTTTTTTGTCTATCGCTCCGGTTGAAATCTGCTTATTTATGCTCCACGCGCTTGTATATCTCAGGGCGACCTGGGAGGTGGCGTTATCGGTGCCCGTGCATCCCCACATTCTGTTTGCTGTTGTGCGTGTGTCTCTCAGAGGGCAGTGCTCCGCCATCAACCCTATTAAGGGTCCACGATTTAGGGTTTACGATGCGTGCCTTCTTTAGTCGCGGGGCGCTGGTGTGGAACCGGCTGCTCTCCACCCCTCCGCGGTGCAATTTGTATCCTCGATATTTTTCTGCGGCGGCTCCGGCTGTCAAGACAGCAGCGGCAGCAGCCGGAGCTGGGGGCAGTGCAACCGGTCGAGTATCGCAGGTGATTGGTGCGGTGGTAGACGTTGAGTTCGATGGCCACTTGCCCCCGATCCTGAACTCCCTCGAGGTGCAGCAGCCGAAGGGGGAGGGTCGCTTGGTGCTCGAGGTAGCGCAACACTTGGGAGAAAATGTTGTACGCACGATTGCGATGGACGGAACGGATGGTCTGGTCAGAGGCCAGCCAGTAACGGACACGGGAGCACCCATTCAGGTAAGGAGCCCCTCTGGGTTTGTGGTGTCGTCGATACGCATCTGAGTCATTGTTTCGGGTTATCGTGGGAGGTTGGTTCTAATGGATTTCTTTGTGCTACAATTCCTCAGGTACCCGTAGGTGAAGCAACGCTGGGCCGCATCCTAAACGTCATCGGGGAGCCTGTGGATGAATGTGGAGCAGTTGCAGCCAAGAAGACGTACTCGATCCACAGACCTGCACCAACTTTCGCAGATCAGTCCACAGAACCGGGTGAGTGGATTTCGTTCAACAAATTCCTGATTGCGAGACCCCACGCTGGATTGTAAGGGGGTTTCACTGAGGAGGAGGGGAAGGAGCTCTTTGGGAGCTTTCGATTCAGGGATGGGAAAGCAGCCACAGCAGGGAACTTAGGCAGCGCTTAGTGCAAGCCACAGTATACCGGAACTGTCGTTCCCAGAAGCGGACGGCTCCCTCTTAGGATGGGGGAGGGCGGAAGACCCTCCATGATGGGATGCATGGATACCAGTATGCCTGTGCTTCGAGTGCGTATTTCGTGTTTTATTTATTGTACACTTTCTTGTGGCTTTGGTCTGTCCATAGCGCTTGGGACCGGTTTCTTTGCTATGCATATTCCTCTCTGCACACCATGCTTTGTGCACTTAATAGCATGAGCGTATACAGCGCTGTTTTGTGCATGGGTTTTTGTCGTGGGTGCGCGAAAAAAATCCGTCTTTTATTGTTGACGCCCTGTTGTGTTTATTTCGCATCTGCTGTTCAGGTTTGCTGATTACGGGCATTAAGGTTGTGGATCTGATGGCGCCTTACGCGAAGGGTGGCAAGATCGGCTTGTTTGGGGGTGCTGGTGTGGGCAAGACGGTGCTGATTATGGAACTGATCAATAATGTTGCCAAGAAGCATGGAGGTTTCTCTGTTTTCGCTGGAGTCGGGGAACGGACAAGGGAAGGGAATGATCTCTACCACGAAATGCTGCAAACGGGAGTTATCAAGCGACAAAAGCGGCAGGATGGTTCCTTTGATTTCACTGGCAGCAAGGCCGCTCTGGTGTATGGGCAGATGAATGAGCCTCCGGGGGCGAGGGCCAGAGTGGCGCTCACAGGACTGTCGGTTGCGGAGTACTTCAGGGACGAGGAAGGGCAAGATGTGTTGCTCTTTATCGATAACATTTACCGGTTTACACAGGCAGGTAGTGAGGTGTCGGCGCTGCTGGGACGCATTCCGTCTGCTGTGGGTTATCAGCCGACCCTGGCAACGGATCTCGGTGCTTTGCAAGAGAGAATTACCACCACCAAGAAGGGATCCATCACGTCTGTACAGGCAGTATACGTGCCTGCAGACGACTTGACAGACCCTGCACCAGCCACTACTTTCGCCCACTTGGATGCAACAACTGTGCTGTCTCGGCAGATCAGCGAACTGGGTATCTATCCAGCCGTCGACCCCCTAGACTCCACGTCTCGCATGCTTTCACCCGACATTGTTGGAACTGAGCACTACGAGACAGCTCGGGCAGTTCAAAAGATTCTGCAGGACTACAAGTCTCTTCAGGATATCATTGCAATCCTCGGAATGGACGAACTAAGCGAAGAAGACAAGCTAACTGTCGCTCGAGCGAGAAAGATGCAACGCTTCCTTTCGCAACCATTCACGGTGGCCGAGGTGTTCACAGGCAAGCCGGGTCGGTTCGTCGAGCTGAAGGATACCATCGAATCCGCCAAAGACATCGTTGGCGGCAACGTCGACGATCTCCCCGAAATGGCCTTTTATATGTGCGGAGGCCTTGAGGAAGTCAAGGAAAAGGCCCTTAAGATGGCGCAGCAGGCTGCCATGTAGACGGCGAGAGAATATGAGGTTTGAACCGCAACAGCAGGGCGAAACAGCAGCAGGCTTGCCGCCCATTAGGAAGCAAGAGGAAAGATGAGACACCAAGCATCAGGGATGCGATTGCACATGCAGGAGGCTGCTCTAATGCAGACTTCTGACCGCACGTTGGAGAGGCCAACCGTGCTCGCTTTGCAGCCACACAGGATGAACGCGCGACCCCGAGGCTGAGGGCGCTGTAGGCATGCCACTGCTTGCTTACTGACGTGCTAAATACACATATAGGTCTAAATAGGAGTGCAAGAAAAGGATTCTGTGCCGATACGAAATTCTCACGGGTATATTCCCGCATCTATGTGTGTGTCTGTATGCTTGAATCAACCTGTCTAGCCGAGTACGAGGCGCTGCGTGCCCAGACAGAAACGTGGGGGTTTTTCTCGCTGTATCGTTCCTTCCCCCTTCGTCATCCCTTCCTTCTTCGGTGTCTTTTTGAGCTGTCGCCCCTCAATTTGATTTTAGGTTTATAAACCTCCACTTATTTTCTTTTGACTGTCAGCAACCCCGTGACTACCAGGGTCGTCTGGGCTGGAAGGTTGGGACTGTTGTTGCACAGCTACGCTCACTACATCGGCTGGGCTACTGCTGGTGTTGCCAAACACGAAAGCAAACGAATTACACAGCGTCCAGAGGCAGTCAAATCTGACGGCGGAATACATGAAGCTGAACTCGGGGATAGAAATGTACAATGTATGTCTACGGGTCCTGAACTATGACCCACGGTTGGCGCCCTCTTCTAGTTCAGATCCACACTGGGCAGCTCACAACACCAGCGTCCGAAGCGAGAGAGGACAGTGCTGCCGCCGTGCTGCAAAATACACACAAAAATAACAGAACTTATAAAATTTCCGCTACCTCAGTCCGTGAGACGTGCGGCAAGGACCTGTCGTGGACGGAAGATGATTCCTTCAGCGTGTCGAAGGGAGGCGCGAAAGGGCACTTGGGGTGTCTGCTGAGCAAACCTTCAAAAGCGGTATGCGATGTGCAAAGAACATGTCCGCATCAATCTGGGAACGACGCGGCTCACCTTTTTGCTTTGGCGGTGTGCGGCATTCTTCATCTGCTGCCTCTTTTCCGGATTTCTGAGTTGCACTGGGGTCTCTCCAACCCCAAAGCTGCCAAAATGCTGCTGCTGCTGTAACTGCTGGTGCAGCTGCATTTGCTGCTGCAGTGCAAAGTTGCTGGGCATCGTGGGGAGCCGGGTAAGTTCCGCAGATGTAGTAACCTCCGCCGCTTCTGCTGAAGGATGCTGTTGCAAGCGACCTGCGGAGAGGGGTATAGCAGGCTCCGCACGAACATCCCCAAGTAGTGCGTATCTGAGGATCAGAAATCCATTTGTTAAACCACTCCTGTTGATGACGTCAACCCGCATAGGAATGTTCTCTTGAAGCGAGGAGAACTGTAACTTGATGAAACCGGTACTGCTAGATTCCCCGTGCACCTAAGTAAAACCGCAAGAGTATGACACCAGGTCGCAAAAAAGCGAAAATCGAGAGGTACTCATATGTATATACGTATACAAATGTAAATATATGCATATACACACGTGCATTCGATTATTCGAGGTAATGTTTTCATGACAGCCACAGCACAGGCTCAGAAAGAGATTGGGTCCGGCACTGCTATACCTCTTCATTAATCTTGAGATGCAAGAATTCTTCCCCTCTCCACAACATTCGCATCCTTGCTGCACGATAAATACAAGCGTATACCGCACGTGCAGAAAGGCCGTTAAATGAAAATACCGTGGCATACAAAGAAGCATGCAAATAGCCAGGATCAAGCTGAAATTAAAGAGAACAGCGAATGCGGAAGCCAATGCGTGCGCGCATGCAAGCGTGCATGTATCAGTGCAAAAATGGGGAATCCTTCGCTGCTTCATCATGACATTTCTCTCTGCATGCTCTCCTATTTTGCATAATCATGCTCGTTGGCACGCGTCCATGGTAATTTGGGCACGCTCACCTCCTTTGAAGTCAACAAAGGCCTGTGGTGTCTGCTGAGCTGCTGCGGTGCTTTCTGAATCGGCACCCGAAAGGAGGAAAGGCTCTACGCTGTTGATTTGGCACTGGCTGTTGTGCTCTTCTTCTGGCCGAAGAAAGCAGCAGAGAGAGACACGAGCGGCGGGATGACTCAAAGACACGCCGTCTAGACACTCGAACTGAAGCTCGATCTCCTGCGCCGCAAAATGAAACAAAAGTACGGAGAGCCTAGTGACGCTATCTACATGCAAATACATGTCTCGCGATGCGAATTATAAGGAGTCCAGCTGCCCTGAACCGCTGAGATTTTACACACAGCCGGTATGCGCATGTAAAGAAGCCTATGAGGGCTGTCATGGCGCCCTTGCTGGAGGTTTCTGCGTACCTGGCAAGGTGAAGAAGCGGAAGTGCAGCGCTCAGCTGTAAATCCTTCGGATTGCGGAAGATCGACAGCATTCAAACAAGGACAGAAAAGAGGGATATGAGGCAGCGCAGGCGCTCGGAAGGTGTGCAGAAAATCGGCTAAAAATGCAAGCAGCAGCAAGGCCGTCGGCATCCCCCGTAGGTGCAGACGCCACATCCATCCACTCCCCAGAAAGGAGCTCACTCGATTGCGCTGTCGGCAGGAGCGGCGTGTTCGAAGCCTGTTGATGGACAGATTGGAGCAGGCCGTCTCCTTGTGGCCAGCCAGACGAGGCGCTTAGTGTTTTGGAGGTGTGGGTTCCTGCTGCGTTGCAAAACTCGAGGAAGGCTGATGAGGGATGTTGTGCCACGCCCAAAGAGAAAGAATCCTGAGCAGCAGCGGCGCCCCCTACGCCGCGTCCGTACGCCTCCTGCTGCTGCTGCTGTTGCTGCATGTGTAAGTGGTGCTGCAGTTGCTGCTGCATGTGAAAGTGGTGCTGCATTTGTTGTTGTTGGTGCTGCTGCTGCAGCTGCATTTGGTGCTGCTGCTGCAAGCCGAGGTACACCAAGGAGGCTCCAGATCTGCTTGGGTCCGGTCCAGGCTGAGGAGGCTCAGGCATCGCCAACTGCGCGTAGGCGTCCATGTAGCTCCCGTCCATCACTGCAACAGCAGCCACAAGGAAGGCATCGAAGCACCCATGGGGGCACATACTACTCTCCAAGACACCTGTCTAGCGCTTTGAGGGGCTGGGATGTTGGGGTGTACGGCCAGTTTTGGGGACTGCGGGTGGGGTCGCACTGGGGTTTGGGTAATGCGGAAATCCAGGAGCCTGCATGTCGTAGGCTCCAGGAACGCCCTGGTGATGCTGCATGTTCGGATTTTGATGTTGAACGTTGGAAGTTCGGAGTGCAGTTTGCCGCTTCGGGAATGGGGCCGGAAGGTCTGGTGGCGTGACGCGTCGGAGGATCGTGTCTCGCGGTCGTTGATGCCTCCGGCGCGCTTGTTGCGATTTTGTTGAAACGCCTTTTAAAATCGAAAATAACTTAAAACTTGGCGTGAAAGTCGAGAAGAAACGGTTCGGGGGAAGCCTAAATGCGAAGACTGAGGCTGCTGGCAGGTGCAGCCGGTGGACCCGCTGGTCCGTTGTGTAGCCGAGGGCTCTTGACCGACCGCCAGACTACTGCGTAGAAAAAAGGGTCGGTTCTGCGATTAGATCTCCCAAGTGTCTTTAAAAGAATAAAGTGCGCTTAATGCGCCTTGAACTGGAGCACAAGCGCAGCAAAGCTGACAGCCGAGCAGTTCGCGGGCTCCCTGCGCGTGTGTGGCAGACAGACAGAGCCCGGCTCAAGGTGTAGGAGGACCTCTACACGCGGGAGGGGTTGCGAGCCCCTTTTGGCTGCGCTTTCTCGGGTGCCAAGTCTCTGGTGGGCGTATTCCGCTTGTTTAGCGTGTAACACGTAGTAAGAGGAAGACGGCAATGCATTATCTCCCGAGCACCCGTGCCGTCTGCCGCCTGGCGGGAAGGGGGACGCACCCGCCACGCCCACGCTGGATGGTCCTAAGAGCTTCTTCGAAGGCGTCGCCTCTGGGCGTGGCGCAGCACTATGCCGCTCGAAATTCCGCGCCAATATGCAGGTGCAAGTCGCCTTTTCGCCGATAAACGCCGGAAGAACCCCCTGAACAGCTGCAGCCTTTGGGGCTTTTTGCCGCAGCGGCAGAAAGGGGGGCAGCAGCACCTACGGCGCCGCCGGCGCCAGTGACAGCCGATCCTCTTGGCCCTTCCTTCGGAGGCGCGAGCAACCGTCCTCGAAAATTCAATGCTATTCTCTGACCTTTGACCCTTTTTCACCCCACCTGGCGCTGCCGCATGCGCCTGTGGCGATCCTCCAGCGGCGGAGGCTGCAGGTGCTGCACCGCCACGCGAGACAGCGAATTCCTCAGCAGTCAAACCTTGACGCATGCGTATTACGCCTACATTAAGAGGCGCGTACTGGAGCAGAAGCCAGATCTTGCCCCCCTCCGTGCGCATGCGGCGGTAGCAGCGGCAGGCTGCCTCGGCAGGAGCACCAGCAGCAACTGCAGTCGCTCTACAAGGCGTCATCCAACTTTTCTCCCCACAGCACCCGCCCCTTCTTCGCACCGACCCCTCCTCCCGAGCAAGCCAACTGGGTGCAGCTTCCATGCGGTCTGCAGGAGGCCTATAGGGGCAAGAAGCGAGGAGGAGGAGTCTCTCCAATTGACTGCGCGGTTCGGGGAGGGGGAGTTTGCACGGGAAGATGGCGTTCTCCGGAGGGGGCACGTTGTATTCGCCTTCGCAGCTGGAAAATGAGCATCACGGTGATGCGCTTCCGCCCTGGAGGCGCACCGATAGCAACAGTGTTGCACACAGCAGCAAGGGAATTCCCCTTCAGGCGGAGCATCCCCCCACTGCTGCGGCTGCCCCTCCATCCTCATCGCAGCCAGCGAGACGGCGTCGTTTCGACGTTCGTAGCCTCATCAGCGCTGCCGCAGTGAAGGCTCCAGAAGCGAATGCCTCCCTCACGCAGCGGGAAGGCAGCGAAGGGCAGTCTGGAGCGGCAGAGGCTGGTAGAGGCAAGGACTGGGAGTGGGAAAGAGAGAGACAGGGGGAAAGAGAGAGACAGGGGGAAAGAGAGAGGCAGGGGGAAAGAGAGAGACAGGGGGAAAGAGAAAGAGAAAGGCAAAGAGAAGGAGAGAGGCAAAGAGAAAGAGAGAGGCAAAAAGAAAGAGAGAGGCAAAGAGAAAGAGAGAGGCAAAGAGAAAGAGAGAGGCAAAGGGACAGGGATAGAGAAAGACTGAGGGATCGAGCCCACCAGGCAGAGCAGCAGAAGCAGAGGCAGTTGGAGCAGCAGTTGCAGCTTGAGCAGAAACTCCAGAAGGAGCGTATGCAGCAGTTGCTGCGGCAGCAGCAGTTTCAACAGCAGAAGGAACGGCTGCAACAGCAAGCCCAAGAGCGGCAGCAGAAACAGCAAGAGCAAGAGCAGTTGCACCAGAAAAAGCAGTTGCACCAGCAGGCTCATCTTCCCAAGTGCGGGTGGCACAACGCAGGGGCAGATGCGTCTACCCCTGCATTGCAAAAGCAGCAGCAGCAGCAACACCAAAAGGAGCACCAACAGCAACAACACCTGCCTGAAGGCAATCGAAAAGAGAGAGGAAATGCAGCCGTTTCGCGTGAAGAAGGCGCTGCTGCAGCGGCAGCCTCTGGAGACGGCTCTAACGAGAAGCCAAGAAGAAGCCGCCGCTTGGAGACATCGCGAAGGAGTCTGAGTCGAAGTGTGTCGTCGCCCTCTCTCTGCAGACTTCCTGAGGATGAGAAGTTTTCTGCAGGAGAATTTCAGTCTGCAAGAAGCCTTGGGAGTCGCAGCGCTGCAGGTAATCCAGCCGCGTCTGGAGGAGGGAGAGGGCTCTTCTACTCGAATCTGCCGTCTCCTTCAGTCATGTCTGTGTCAGACGCGGGGGGAGAGGAGGAGTTGCTGGAGGAGGCTCAGCCTCTCTCGGGAGGGAGGCGGCAAGGCTCTGCTTCTCCCCAGAGGACGAGTCGGGGGGGCGCAAGTCTGCGGGGGGGGGAGAAAGAGGCACTCTCTTTCAACCCGTGGAGAACGCAGCAGCAGCACTTGCAGCAGCAGCACTTGCAGCAGCAGTCAGAGACACCAGGGCAGTCTCTTTCGGCAGTTTTAAGGCCTTCCATCCAGGCATTGCTGTGCACGACGGAGGGAGCTGCAGCAGTGGCAGTTGCGGAGGCGCTGCTTGTGCCTCCGGAGCTGCAGCAGCAGCAGCACTTGCAGCAGCAGTCTTTCTCTAGCCTTGACGCACCCTCTCCTGTCACTGCGGGGGGAGCTGCCGGCTTTTCGCGGGATATGACGTCTCAGCAGCAGCCGATGCATCAGCAGCAGCCGATGCATCAGCAGCAGCCGATGCATCAGCAGCAGCAGCTCGAGGAGCAGCACCCCCAGCAGCTCCTCCTCCTCCAGCAGCAGCAGCAGCAACTGCCTCGCGAGGCGCATCCGCTGCTTCCAGCACAGCCTCGCCCTCCGCTGCTCCCTCCCGCTGCATCAGCTCACGCTGCCTGCGTGGATGCGACGCTCCTTCGGGCAGTTGCAAAGCTGCAGCAGCAGCGGCTCTGTCTGAACTGCAAGGAGCCGCTGCTCCCCGAGCGAGCAGGCAGTCGCACCAACAACGGCAGCAACAATGGCAACAACGGCGTTTCCACGAGCAGCGCGTTGATGGTCGGAGTTTGCAGGGGATGCCTCCGTCATGTGGGAAGAAGCGCCTGCTGCCACTGCGGTGTAGACTTTATTCAGCACCGATTTGCTGTGCAGGTAAAATGCATCCTCAAGGAGGCCTTTTTGAACACCTCCCTCCCCTTCCTGCCGCTGTCACACCCGCTGTCTCGGCACCGAGCGACTGCATTGAACGCTCGACGCGTGTGTCTGTACTGCCCGTTTGCCTCCTCTCTGGTCCTACGCTATCAGCCCTTGGTTCTCTCTTGCTGCCGCTCCTCCCTCACGCATGCATAGTCTTCTCCTCCCTGCCCGTCTCTCTCGAGCTGTCTGTCCACCCCCCGCGTGCTGCGCGAACTCGCACGACCTCATCGCGTTTTTTCCTTTTCGCTCCTCTCTTCCGCGGCTTCCTCTGGCTCTAGCATCACGCCTCTTCAGGAGGAGTGAGGGGTTCTTCCACGCCGTGGGGAAGTTCGCTTTCTTCTGGCCTCCCTCCTTCGTGCTTCCACTTGCCTCTCCAAATCGATAGCCCACCCACCCACCTCCCTGCAGCGGCAGCAGCGTCGGAATCCTGCATGCGCTTTCTAAAGAGTGCCTGCATCCGCACGCACTTGTGCTCAGATCGAAAAGGCTCTAGGAAGGCCAGCCTGCTTCGCATGCGCCCAGCAAATGGCGAAATACAAAAAAGATCCCAGCATGTAGGTGCTTCGTGTGTGTCGCTAGTGTGCTGGCTTTTTGCTGCCTTGCATTGCGTAGTCTTTGTCGCGAGCAGATCGCAATTTTCTCCTTCGCTCGAAGACTTGTGGTGATGGAAAGGGGGTGTACGCCATCCCCCGAGGCTCTCGGGGGATGCCTCCTCTGCCCTTCTCAACAGTCCCCATTCGATTGCCGCGCCTTCCAGAGTTGCCTCTTCCGTCTGTCGGTGCTGCTGCCGCGAAAGACATCAAATGAATATCTCTCGCAGTGTGTTTTCGGGTGCCTTCCTGCAGCTGTAGGTTCTGCCGGTGCTGGTCTGCGTGGCATGAAGCAGAAGAGTGCAACAGATGCCGCTCGCGCATCGCCAGGTGAGTGCCACAAGCTTGATGGCATGTGCAGTGCACCTCTAACTTCTCGCTATTCTTCGTGGCAGGCAGCACCGACAAAGAGAATTTTCCTGCTACACCTAAGGCAGCGCTCGGCATGTCAGCTAAGCCGGCTATGTGCTTGCACACCACCGTTTCCTGCTGCTGCAGGAGCTACTGCAGGAGCTACTGCAGTAGCAGAGCGCCTGCGCGCGTATCATTGCCACTGTCTGTGGGTGTCTGTGTGCTGTCTGTGTGTCTGTGTGTGTATGTGTGTGTATGTGTGTGTCTCTGTGTCTGTGTGCTGTCTTTGTGTGTCTCTGTATCTCTGTATCTGTCTGTGTGTGTGCTGTCTTTGTGTGTCTCTGTATCTGTGTGTGTGCTGTCTTTGTGTGTCTCTGTTTGTGTGTCTCTGTATCTGTGTCTGTGTGCTGTCTGTGTGTGTGTGTGCTGTCTGTGTTTGTGTGTCTCTGTATCTGTGTCTGTGTGCTGTCTGTGTGTGTCTGTGCACTTGTACATGCTCTGGGGTATTTTGCCTTGTTTTTGCCTCAGACATGGTCTGCCGAAGATGTGCGTTCACTGCAACTGCATTGGTGCTTTTCCCCACTCACGACCTGCTGCTGGATATGCGGGGGTGGCGCTGTGTTTCCTGTGCCACTGGAATATCAAGAAGGATGTGGCTGTGCAGCTCCGAGCGCGACAAAGGCAGCAGCGAACTCTGCAGCTGCTCATGCCAGGGAAATTGAGCGATCTTCCCCCACCCGGGGACGGTCTTCCGCTGCAGCTTGCACAGCAACAACAACAACAACTGTCACTAATCCAGCGAACGGCGTCTGCACCGCAAGGGGAGAGCACTGACATCTCCTCCAAGGATGTGTGTCGTAATTTTCCATGCGTTTTTGTTGCCTTTCGTCTCTGCTTCGGCGTGATTTTTGACGTTTTCGCGTCTGCCGCGCGCCTCACTGCTGCTGTTTTGCCCCTGCCTTTTGTCTGCCTTGAGTATGCGTTTGTCGCTTCTCTGCCTGGTGATCAGGCGTAATGACTGCTTTCAGCGCTGCCCCTTCCTCCCCCTCCCTCCCCTAGCGCGTAAAGCGGAGTCGTGTGCGCCGCGTCTGCGTCTCCCCATGCAGACGAAGGGGTGCTTCCCGGAAAGCGACACTCACAGCGTGGAGCTGCTGCGGCAGGAAATTCGCAGTCTGCAGGAGCAGCTGCTTCAGAAGGACCTTTTAGCGCAGGTGTGTTTGCGGGGGTTCGAATTTCTACGCATGGCTCAATCAAATAAACTCCACACACACACAGTACACGAAAAATGCTGCCTCCACGACAGTGGACTGCGCAGAGGCAACAACACCGCTGACAGGTAGCCTGCGGCACTGCCTGCCTTTATGAGTTTCACGCCAGTTCGAAGACTGACAGACCTCCATCTTCTTGCGAATGAACTCTCTGCACACAGGATATGCAACAGAAAGCAAGCGAAGCCGAGCGGCAGCTCCAAGTGCAAGTTCAAAATTCCCAGCGGCACGCGCAGCAACTTGTAAGTATGGGGGCTGTCGGTGTTTCTTGCTTTTCTGCTGCATGCTGTGCCTCTCGCAGTCTCGCTCAGCAGCATGCGGCATTTCGTTTGCGCTCCGTGGCGACTCTTGCCTTTGCCGAGCTGCAAGTTCGGCTGCGCTCGTGCTTGTTCTGCTTTTCTTAGTCCATCGACTTGCGCCGCTCTGTTGCCGAGGTAGAGTCTCTTTCTGCCAAGTTTTTTGCGGAGCGTCGACAGCTCGAAGCTACCCATGCGGTAAGGCGCTGAGGTAGCTGCTGCTTGCAGGCTGGGGAAAAGGCGTGCCGGTGTTGTTGCGCTTGTCTCCGCTGCAGCAGCGCAGCTGTTTTGAACGCTGCTGCTGCTGCTCCTCCTGCTCCTCCTCCTGCTGCTGCTGCTGCTGCTCCTGCTGCTGCTGCTGGCACGAGCTTCCAGTGTTAGCAGAGGGCACACCAACGACAGTGTCGAAGCGTTCTTTTGGAAAATAGAGCAAGACGCAGCTTGAACCCGCCTGCACACACGTATACACCGAACGGCGCGGAGACGCGTGTGTTCTTGGCTGCAGGAGCAGATGGAGGCTTTGAACGGCTGCGTGGATGCGCTCAAGTCGAAGAACGATCAGTTAGAAGCCGATAAGACAAAGTCAGGCGTCTTCCAAACCACTGGCGGGCTTGAAGGTCCTGAAGAGAGGGGAGGGGTAGATAGAGGGAGGCAGAAAAGCGACGCCTCTGTGCGGCATTTTGCGTCTTTGCGTAAGAGGTGTGCGTGCTGTAGGGCTGTACAAGAGCTGCAACAGTTGCGGCGGCAGCAGATTGTGGTGTCTCGGGAGCTTGCGAAGACTAAAGAGGCAGCCGAAGAGGCGAAAGCGGCGAAGGGGGCCTTTGCGTCTCTGCTGCAGCAGCAGGAGGCTGCCGCGGCTGCTGCTGCGGGTGCTGCAGCCGCTGAAAGCAAGGCGCTGCAGCAGCAGCTGAAGGAGGCGCAGCAGCAGCTGAAGGAGGCGCAGCAGCAGTTGAAGGAGGCGCAGCAGCTGCTGAAGGAGGCGCAGCAGCAGCCAGTGGAGAGACGGCTGCAGGAGGAGCAGCAGGATGTGCAGCTGCTAGAAGGCGCTGCATCCAGTGGTAGCTTGGCTAAGAAAGAAGACGCATGCCTGTTGATAGACTTCACGGCTGCTGCATGTGTTGTCGAGGGTTCGGCGCGCTCGGGCGGCTTGGGAGTGGCTACGGAGGCTTTGTCAAGGACTGCTGTAGAGGGCGATTCGGAGCAGGAGGCGGAAACTGCTCCTTTAGCAGCGACATCGAGTGACACGGTAGACTCCGAGAAACGCGAGCAGCCGCAAGAGGAAGAGCAGCAGCGAAATCAGCAGCAGCAGCAGGCAGAAGTCCAGCAGCCGCATGCGGCGGAAGATGGCGAGGCTGCCGCTAGAAGAAGTCGAGACCACTTGGGTAGCTGCGCCGAACCTGATGACGCAGATGCAGGAGCAGGCACCAGCAGTAGTAGCAGTAGTAGTAGCAGTAGTAGTAGCAGCAGGAAGGCGGGGGCGAAGAGGAAAAAGGGAAGGGAGGAGGCAAGGGACGGTAAGACCAAGCGAAGTCGTTTGAGGAAACACGCTCCGGGGAGCAGCGCCAGCGATGGCGAGCAGGGTGATGATAATGATGATGGTAATAAGCGAGAAGGCGAGGATAATGATGGCGATAATAAGCGAGAAGGCGCGGATAATGATGGCGAGGATGGTAATAAGCGAGAAGGCGAGGATAATGATGGCGAAGATGGTAATAAGCGAGACGGCGAGGATAATGATGGCGAGGATGGTAATAAGCGAGATGGCGAGGATAATGATAATGATGGCGAGGATGGTAATAAGCGAGAAGGCGAGGATAATGATAATGATGGCGAGGATGGTAACAAGCGAGAAGGCGATATGCCAACAGCTGGTGCCGTGGAAATCGGAGCCACAGCACCGTCAGCAGCTAGGGAAGAGGTTCTAAGTGGCGGTATGGTTCTGCAGCTGGGGGGGCAAAGAGACGTGAAAGCGAAGAACCCAGAGGCAGCGCGTGGCACCGCAGAAGCGGAGACAGCAAAGCAAGGCAAGGAGGCGGTGGAAGAGAGCAGCAACAACAGCAGCAGCGATGAAGACACCCCACTTAGCCTCCTCGCAAGTGCGCGGCCAGTCAAGCGCAGCAGCACGGACCTCGCTGCTGCTGGCAGGGAGGCGATTTCGAACAGAAACGAGACAGCAGCAAGCAGCGGCAGCAGTAAAGCTAAAGGAAGGGTGTCAGCAAAAAAGGCCAAGGCGAAGGCTGCGCCTCGAAAGGGCAGATAAGCCGCGCGCGGCAAGCCGAATGGTCGTGGTGGGGTCGTCGTGCCTCCCCGCCTTCCCGTGTACATGCATGGATTGCTTTTTCCCTATTTACGTATTATATGAATGTGCATACGTCTTTTAGAGTCCACGTGGGGAGGAGCCTGCCTACATCAGGAAGGCATGGTGTGTTCTTGCGGCTGGCGCGCACTTATTTATTTTCTAGCGAGAGGAACTGCTTGCCCCTCTTGGGGTGGTGCATCTTGATTCCCCGAACACCGACGGCAGCTTGCAGTATTTGTGCAGCAACAAAGATGCATCAGAGGAACCGAAGTCGGCAGGCACGCGCCAGCGTTTCGCCAAAACCGCATGGATTTAGTAAGAAACGCACCAACACAGCTAGGAGAGGCGGGAAGCTTCCCAGCAGAAACGCATCACCAGCCAAAAACACAACGGCCTTTCTACAGGCCGGCAAGCTATACGCGTGTGTGTCTGAGTCCAGCTGTCTGCACTCGAGGAAAGCGTATTCCAGGGGATTTCTACATACGCATGCATATGCGCATCGATGCAGACACACACATGCACAAACTTCTACATACACACAAAGATACATAAGCACACATACAAAGATACAAGAGCACGCATAGATACATGAAAACACATATATATGTAAATGCACAGAAAAATACACACACGTACATATACACACAAATACAGATACATACAAACACACATTGACCCGCATACATCCATAGACAAACGTACCTATACACACAGATGCACAAACATACCTATACACACACATACACAAAACACGCATATGCACATAAAAATACAGATACATGCCTAAATACACTCACACACACAGGCACCCCCATACATACAGAAACGTTGTCTTTGGCGATGCTCTTGAAAGGTGGTGTAAAGGCGGCTCTGCCTCACAGCTTAGCGCCTCCTCCTGTCTGCGTCTGCTGGTGTATGCGTGTTCTTGCCGCGTCTTCCCGTTCTTCCACGCGGCTCTTTGCTAAGGCTAAACAGTAACTAAGGCTTTCTACTCGGTAAAGTGTAGGGTTTGCGTGGGTAAAGTCAAAGCTGCCGCAGCGCCTTGGCGGCTCCTCCTGCAGACGTGAGGTGTCTCTCCACCTGTACCCAATACTGTGGCGCAGACTACACCTCCGGCAAAGGAGCGCAGGCATTATGAGCTGCATCTTGCGAAATGTCAAACGATGTACTGTTGTCTCTACCCCTTCCTTCCCGCCTTCTTCGCGGTAAATTTTTAGAAGCAGCAGCAGCGGCAGCTGCTGCTGCTTCTACAGGGCATGTGCCTTGGCTTCTACGGCGCAGGCAACAAGCGCTTCAACGGATTCAGCGCAAGACAGGAAGGGCCTAAGGTGATCCTGCTGCTGCTGTTGATCCTGCTGCTGCTGCTCTTGCTGCTGTCCTACTAGCTTGAGGCATTGCAAGACTTGCTCTTGTTGCTCCTTGCAGGGAGATGCGGGTATAGACTTGGAGCCTGCGGATGCCAGCGCTTGTGACAAGGAGGCTGCACGCGACTTTAGGCTGTTTGCCTGCTGTTGTTGTTGCTGTTGCTGCTGCTGCAGCAGGCGCTGCCGTTGCTGCTGCTGCTGGCGCGCGTGCTGGTGTTTCTGCTGTTGCTGCTGCTCCTCGAAAGAAAATTCTGCTGCGCCTACGACTCCCGATAGAGACGGAAGCAAACCTGAGAATTCGAACTCCACCTTACAAGTTTGCATGCAGCTTCCATTCCCAAGCGCCCCCACCTTGTGCCCTCTGACACTACCCCCCTCAACACTTACCTAGAGGTTTTGCGGGTGGGAGACTCAAGTAACTGCTATCGTCTTCTTCGCTCTTGGCCTGCGTTTGCTGTGGCTGTGGCTGTTGCTGTTGTCTCTGCGCCTGCTGTTGCTGCGGCTGTCGGCTGCGGCTGGCGCTGAACCTCTCGAGGAAGTCTTCTCCAAGAATAATGGAGCCATCCCTGGTTGGGGGCAGCGGCGCAGCAGAGAGCCTCTCGGCTGCTGCTTCTGCCTCATCAGGCACGACAGCAGCCGTTGAGGCGGCAGTTCCCATGCGAGAGACAGGAAGCAAACGTACCCAACGCAGACACAAACACACACGCACGGGCAGTACAGAGAAAAACCCAAACTCGCGAATGAGTGAGTGTGGTGTCGTGTGGTGTCGTGTGGTGGGATGATGAATGGGGTGTAGCTGGTGCGCGCCTTCTCAGGGCGTGGCAAGCACGGAAAGCATGACTAAATTTACGCTGCTGAGCGCTTTGTTGCGCAAATTTCCTGCGAGAGACAGGCACGAAGGCTATGAAGAGCTAATATCTGCCGTTTCAGCATAGGCAGTCCCCCTTCTGAACATGCAGCAGGGGCATGTGTAGAAAGGCGTTCCGCTGCTAGAGGGCAATCGATGCGCGCCCAGGCTTACACCGTTCTGAGCCCGTAAATTCTGATAGGGATATTAAGAAGGACAAAGCGTAGAACTAAGGGTCGATTTCGTGATCAAAACGCTCGCACTGTGCGCAGATGGTGGCGCTCGCTACCAACACCAGCCCCCTCCTTACTGCCAGGCCTCCCCTTGCTCCCCATACACCTGCCAGCCTGAAGGCTTACTACACGCGATATACAGGACTTGCGACTTTTCTGCGTAGGTGTCTGCTATGCGTGTCATCGGATGCTCAGGAAAGAATGCTTTATTCACTGAACAGCGCAAGTCCTCGATGCGCCCTATGCGTCCCTCCCGCGTTGACAGCCGATGCAACTGCGACTCAGGCAACATAGGCTTCCCGGAGAGGCTGCATATATAGATGTAAATATCTGTATCAATATATGGGCCCCCTAATGTGCGCTCGTTGCCACGTGGCTGCAGGAGAACGCCCCTAATTATTTAGCGCTTCGCTGTTTTGCCAGGAGGAGGGAGGCCCCTTGTGCAGCGAATCCGAGTTTGCGATCACCGCTCTCCCCTCCGCATTTGTAGCTGCGCCGCAGCGCTACAGGCTGCAGAGGAAGGCATTCTCCTCTAATTTGTAAGGAGGTGTTTGTGTGTGTGTGTGAGGAAGTGAGTGAGTGGGCGCTGTCACCCCTGCCGCCACACACGCACAACATACACACACCTTCCTACTATTTCGGGGGAGGGAAGGGGGGCAGAAGGGCTCTAAAAGAGAGCAGAGTACCCCTGCATGCGTGCATCAATCGGCACCCAGGATAGACAACAACAAGAAACCTCTGAATCTCGTTGCCTCCAATGGATGCCGAAGCCACCACTGAAAAAGAGGAGCCTGAAGCGCCTTCACAGACGTTTGCACATAGCTACAGTAAGCGCGTCTTTTCCCCTTCTTCTGTGGAAGATTTCGCCCCTTCGTGGAAACAAAACACGCTTTCCCGTTCTCTTCGATCGCCTTCTCGTCTGATCCACATGCCTCACCGCTTAGCCCTCCACTTGACTGTTGCGCCTCTCCTCACTCGCCACTTGCACAGTGTCATTCCAAGAAGCGTCAGACTGTAGCTGTTTCAGCGCAAGGCCTTTTGCCATCACGAGCCTGCCCCCTATAGCTCCGCGCACATCAGGCGCTGTAGACATGGGGATGAAATGTCTGAGTATAGGCATGTGTACGCATGTGTGTAGGTCTGTGGATGTTGTCTGCACACGTGTGTAGGTGAATGTATATGTTCGTAGATCTGTTTGTATAGGCCTCTGTATAGGCATGTTTATGTTTGCCTGCTCGTCTGCATGTGTATAGCTGTGTGTGGGTGTGTTTGTGTATAGGCATGTGTATAGGTGTGTGTATGCTTGCCTGCTCGTCTGCATGTGTATAGCTGTGTGTGGGTGTGTTTGTGCATAGGCATGTGTATAGGCATGGGAATGTTTGCCTGCTCGTCTGCATGTGTATAGCTGTGTGTGGGTGTGTTTGTCTATAGGCATGTGTATAGGTGTGTGTATGTTTGTCTGCTCGTCTGCATGTGTATAGGTGTGTGGGTGTGTTTGAGTGTAGATCTGTGTGTAGGCATGTGTATAGGCATGTGAATGTTTGCCTGCTCGTCTGCATGTGTATAGCTGTGTGTGGGTGTGTTTGTCTATAGGCATGTGTATAGGTCTGTGTATAGGTGTGTGTATGTTTGTCTGCTCGTCTGCATGTGTATAGGTGTGTGGGTGTGTTTGTGTGTAGATCTGTGTGTAGGCATGTGTATAGGCATGTGAACGTTTGCCTGCTCGTCTGCATGTGTATAGGTGTGTGTACGTTTGCGAAGATGTGTGAGGCGTGTGGTGTCTGTGTAGAGCTGCCTCTTCCGGGTGGCTGTCTCTGTCCAGTTGCTTTTTCTGGAGGAGACAGTGCTTCGACGTCTGCGCTCGAACCGCATCTCTTTCTGGCATGCTCAGCACATCCCACCAAAGAGAATGAGGTACGCCCAGTAGTCTTCGGCCGGCTGCGCTGCTTTGCGACCTCTTTAGAGCATGCCCTTTTTCGACACGTCTCCTGCAGGCGGAGCATGCGCTTCCTCCCTCCTTCTGTAGCTGTGCGTTTTCCGTGTGTATGCGCGGTATGGGGGCTGTCTTCGTGTTCTTCGCGCAAAATCCTAAAAATCCTGTAAGACGTAAAAAAAACCCATGGCCCCCTTCCCCCATGCGGTGGTGATCTCAGGTGTATCTGCTGCTCTACGAAGAAGAGACTCTGGAGGCTTCTTTAGTCCTCAGTTTCCCAGCACCAAGTCCAGCTGCCGCAGTTGCGCCGCTGTGTTTGAAACAGACGGATGCGGATGTTGCAGATATTTCGCTGCTCGTGGCGTCAAACAACCCTGGTAACTCTTCTCGAAGTTCCTTGCCCACCAAGCTCCTCAGCGTCTCCTTTCCCTCCCCTTTCCTCCCTTCCGCCGTCCTCTAGTAGAAGATACCACCACACCATACTGAGAGAAAGACATCGCACTATTCATCGAAGCGGGAAGGCGCTCGGTGCAGCCGACTCCCTCTCTTTCTTTCTTCCTTTCTTTCTTTATCTCTCTCTCTCTCGCTCTCTGTCTCTCTCTGTCTCTGTCTCTCTCTGTCTCTCGCTCTCTCTATCATGCCCTTGCAGGTGCATAAAAACTTTCCGCAGCTCTCTAGTCCTTCGCCTGCCAGTAGACGCGTAGGGTCTAAAGGCTTGTTCTGCGCGTATTGCCGAGGCATCAGTCGCTAGCGAGATGCAGATTCTCTCTGTTTTTGCTCAGCCCCTTCAGTGTCCCTTTGGAGAGCGACTGCCCCTCTTCAACAGCATGCGGACTTCAACAAGGGCAGCAGCAACCTACGCACCCCAGGCGTCGATACACTGCAGCCAGCCCGTCCTTTTGGCTTGCTGCACAGGTAAAGGATTTTTCACGGACCTTTTGTCGCCCTCGCCTTGGCGTGTCTTCAAAAGGCTTCCCTGATCAGCACTGGGGTCCTTTAGCATAGGGCTGCAGTCAGAAATTCCTTGCTTGTGCGCACTGCGACAGGTGGCGTGGGGAGGGAGAAGAGGATTAGGGGGCTGGGGGAAGGCACTTTCTATCTGCCAGCAATCTACTCTCCCTTTGCAGATTGCTTCGACCGAAGGAGGGGAGGGAGGGAGGGGAAAAGGGCATCCTATCTATGGTGTATTATTGCGCCGCTCTCTGAATCTTTAGCCGCTCTCTACAAGTGGCCCTTCCGTCAGCTCTAAACGCCTGGCATGCGCATGCATGCATGCGGCCTGCACGCATCTGTGGGAAGGCGCTGCTGCTGCTGCTGCTTTTTTTGCGGCTTCGCATGTGGCGTTCCTGCTCGCATTGGATGGCCCCTTTCGAGGACTGCTGCTGTGTGGCTGCAGTGTGTTGCTTGCACCGGAAAGCCTGAGACCCCTAAAGGCATTGTGTGCAGAGAGTGAGAGATGCCAAATCTTTCAGCAAAGGGAATCATGCTTTCAAGTACGTCCCGAGTGGTGCTCAGCTAAACCGTGTTCTGCTGCGTTCCCTCTCTCTATACATAGAGAGAGAGGATAGAAAGAGAAAGAGCTCGCTGTGTCTCCACATTGGATCTTCTCTTTGCTTCTTCCCTCGGCAGCCTCTCATTCTCTCGTTTCTGGGGAGGCGGAATTTTGAGCGCCAGTGCCTCGGCATGCTGCTTCTTCCTGCCGCTACATGCAGCTGCTGTATCACGCGGCTTCTTCCTGCTGCTACATGCAGCTGCTGTATCACGCGGCTTCTTCCTGCTGCTACATGCAGCTGCTGTATCACGCTGCTTCTTCCTGCCGCTACATGCACCTGCTGTATCGCGCTGCTTCTTCCTGCTGCTACATGCAGCTGCTGTATCACGCTGCTTCTTCCTGCTGCTACATGCAGCTGCTCTATCACGCTGCTTCTTCCTGCTGCAGGCTCTCGGGCTGCTTCAGCAGGCGCAGATGGCGTGCGAAGCGGCCGCATGGGATCCACACGATTCCAACATCGTAGGCTTTGCAAGAGCATCCCTGATTCTCGAGGTTTGGGGAGAGTCTCATAGCGTGGTGTTTCTAGCGCCTTTAGCAAGAGGACGCCAAGGCGGACTGCCGCTCGAATGACGGCTGCGTGCCGAGCCGTTTCTCATGCGCGCCTCCTCTCTCTCAGAGGGCCGGGTTGTTCCTCTGTTTTCTGACTCCTATCGTCCTTTGGACCTCTCCTGGCACTCTACATGTGGACACTCCCAGCTCTAGCTAGCTAGCTAGCTAGCTCTCCGTCTGCAGCAGCGCCCCCCATGTGTGCCCCTGCATTTTCTGTGTGGGGGTGTGTATTGAGACAGGTGCTGACGGCGCACAGCCGCAGCCGATATCCATCTCTGCTTCGCACTGGTGGGAGCAGCGGAGGCCTCCTCGCGCTGTGGGATTTGCGGGAACAGCCTCACGAGGCGGGGGTGCTTGGCTGCAGCAGCCTCGGCGAGAGCACCTTCGGGTGTGTGCGCGTCTCAACGGATCCTCACGGGCCGCTTGCTGCCCCCATCTCCCTCTGCTTTAACCCCAGCTTGCCATTCTCGTTCGTGTCAGGAGGAACCGACGGCGCTGTCAGAACGTGGGATATCCGAAGCCTTCAAGCGCCCGTTAAGGTCTTTCTTCTGCATGCAAAAAGCGGGAGCAACTGTCCTTTCCTCTCCGTGTGCCTCGCCGTCTTTCTCGCCGCCTCTTTTTTGCCTTTTTTCTGCGCGGTGTCTTGGCATTCCTGCTCCCAGCCGACTGTGATCGCACCGCGTCCAGGGGCCTCCCTGGTTCGCCTCCGGTGCTTTTTCACTGCTGCTGCCCTCCACAAATCTGCCTGGACCTCACCTCTGCTTCTTTGCCGCCTTGCTTGCTTGCCGCGCTGCAGACCTTACGAGACGTGCAAGCACACTGGGTGGCGCACACGCAGCTTAATCCGTTCCATGATCAGCTGCTCCTCACTGCAGGTACTTGGTCGCAAACGCTAGGTGGTGTAGATAGAATCCTCTTTGAAATTCCTAGCCCACAAGAAGTTGATATGACTTCGCACTTTACCAGGGTCCTTACACGCGCGCTTTTCCCACTTCACGTCTGCAGGCACAGACGGCTGTCTGAAGCTGCACCGCGTCGAACACGCTTTGGCAGGGCCCTCTCAGAGTGTCTGCTTACCTGAAGAAAAGCAGGCTGCACCTGAAAGCACGAACGGCCGCCTCCTGTGTGTCGACGAAACAAGCAATGTGAGTTCCGAGAGAGGTGGGCTCTCTAGAAAACCGAGGCAGGAGCGCCATATGCGCGGTACGCGCCAGAGCAACTCTGAAACACAAGACCTCAGAGAGACACAGTGGAATTAGTAAATGGAAGAAAAGGAGAATGCGGAGGAGAGCGCGATGGGGTCGAAGTGCTAGAGGTTGTCTAAAGAAATCTCTATGCCTACGTGTTTCTATGTGTATTTGTGTGTGCCTCCAAGATGCGTCGTGTTGCCAGTGGTTTCCTCTCGTGAAGTCTTCTTCGTTGCATGTAGCTGCGGTGTCTTCTGCGTGGCTTGCTGCTGCAGGATTCTTTGTGCAGCGTTCAGTGGTCTGCCGCTGACGCGTGGATCTTCGCTGCCCTTTGTGTGGATGGCTGTGCCGCCTTCCATCAGATCCCGACAGCAGAAAAGTACCACATTTTGCTCTGAGAGGCTCCTTTGCTCCACTGACGTGGACGGTCTTGGTGTCTCTGACCTCCCTTCTGGAATTTTATGCCACATTCAACGTAACTCATTCTTTTGTTTTATTGTTCGTACGAACAGTGGCGAGGCCGCTGAGGGCCGCACAGGTTTTGTGAGGCTTTCCGCTTTTCAAAGCCGCATAGTCTCAGCACGTCGGAGAGAAGGCACTGAAGTGACACTTTCTCATTAAAGATCACGGCTTGTTGCTCTGCAAACGTGCATGCTGCGAACAGCCTTGTCGCAGCGCTCTCAAATATGCTAGCAGGGAGGCAGCAGTGGATAGCTTCGAGCTCACCCAAAGAGGGCAGCGTTAGTCTCTGCACTACATACAGTGCACGCACGGCACCTCTGAACTGTCAGTCATGCTATTTAACCGTATTTTCAAACGCCAGGGCTACGGGGGCGAGGGGGGAAGATATCACGCAGCAAGAGCAGCAGGCTTTGTGTCTGGATGGCTGGCGTGAAAACAGGTGGTCGCGAAACAGCCGTCGTGTATAGGCGTGGGCTTCATGAGACTGATGAAGTGCAAAGGATCTAACTGCACGGAGTGGCACGCCTAGAGCGAGTTGTGCTGAGCATTTAACTGTACGCCGACCAGCATGGGCGATGAGCACACGGGTGCTTGTGTTGGGCATACTGCCTGCCCCGCAGATAAATTTTGAGCCATTTGTTTAATGCAAACTTCCTGCTTGTGATTTCCTAATTATTTCGAAGCAGCGCGCGCAATGCACAGGGGGAAGCGGTGAGCAGGAGACTGAGGTGACCACTAGGCGAGGGCAAATGCTTTCAGCAGCGTTTAGAGCTCGGTGATCACTCGATTTCTGGTGTTGGATTCAAATAAGCAGAAGACTGAGGCGTCTTCGTGGGCTGAGGCATGAGATTTACGAGGTTTTGGAGCTTACGGCTTGTGGCCGAACAGACGGCCTGCGAGGGATCATGCACCCGATCATTCCCCCGTGCGAATGAAAGGTACCTATTTGAACCCTAACAAGCTGTAAGCCAAATGACAGTCCAGATCTTGCCATGTTTCGCGTAATTTCGCCTTGGTCTCAAATCGGCTGCGAGGCGGTTCAGGTCACCTCGTCAACCGACTGCCTTACATTAGGGATCGGAATGTGACAACTAGAAGGAAGCACACGTGAAATGCGATCTAAAGGTCAATTCACCACTAATTGAGTTTTGCAACCGAGAGTTGGTGCGCAATAGATGATGGTTGGTACCTAGTCAGGCGGAGGTTGGTCACCCCGCAGCCGCAACCTCAGCATTTTGGCTCCTGCTGCTGCAACGCCTCGCAGCCCAAAGCGCCTTTTTATTCGAAAGTTGTATTCAGTATCAAAGGTACCGTAAATTCGCTGGACTGGCGGAAATCCGAAGCCCGTGGGGCCGCCTCTGTCAACAGACACCATGCAGCGTCCGGCGCAGGAAAGCTTCCGTCCTGCGCACTGACCATCCCTCAGGTATTGCCTCTCTCTTTAGAGCATTCAGCAACCATGACTTGCGTTGCTGCGGCCGTTGCTCCCCCCTTCCTGCAGCAGCGCAGCGGGGGCGTAGACTCTGCGTACGAGGAAGAACCACTTACTCCGCAGTATCCGGCTTCGCTTGCCACAGCAGCGTCCACCCCGGGGTCTACCACGGCCGCAGCAGTCGGCGCAACGCGGTCAGCCGCTGCCAAGCATTTAGCGGCGGCAAGCCGCGAAGAGGGGCCCCCCTGGTCAGCAAGGGACGCTGAGGGGGCCTCCCTGTGTCTCCAGCCATGTCAGGAGTCTGCAGACACTCCGCTCGGCTGCTCTGGAGGCACCGCCGCAGACGCGCTGCAGCAGCAACAGCGCCGTAGCAGCCTCAAGAGGGCTCTTCTGGCCCTAGGCTTTGGAGGCGGAAGAGCCACCGCCTTTGGGGGAGTCGGCGGAATGGCGGGCAAAACAAGCGACGGGGGGGCAGGGGGCCCCTCGTGGAGGCCCCCCGACATCCCGCAGAAGTCTTCTGAAGATCGGGTGGATAGCAAAGGCGCTGGCGGCATTCAGAGGCGCGGCACCCTGCAGCAACAGCATCAGCAACGCGAGCAGCAGCAGCAGCAGCAGCGGCAGCTCGCCGAGGAGTATGCCAAGCGAGGCAAACCCTGCTTCTCATGGTTAATCATTGTCGCCTTGCTTGGGCTTGCTTTGATGGGAGCTCTCTGCTGGTGCCTTTCTGCCAGCGCAGCATTCCCTTCTGAGGCTGCAAAAAAGTGTATTATCGCCTTGCATGCAGCTGAGGAAGAAGGGCTGCTCCCGGGAGGCTATGGGACCCTCGGCGTCTCGATCAAGCAGTATCTACAGCAGCAGCCACACCAGCAGCAGCAACACCTGCACCACGCATGGATGTACAAGCAGCAGCAGCATCACCAGAAGCAACAGACTGCGACGAAAGCAGCAACGGCGGCGAGAGCAGCTGCTGCCGCAATTTTTGGCGATAGCAGCTCCTTCATGGCCAGTCTGATCGTTGATGCAACACATGCTTACATCGAGCTCAGAAGGGGTGTCGCGCTGCAACAGCAAGCGTATAACGTGCTTTTAAACCTGGTTGAGGAGAAGGAGGAAGGGCGTAAGCTGGAGCTGCTGATGCAAGAACCCAACAACGACGCACCACAACTTTCCCCGGGAAGACAGCAGTCAGCTCTGCCTGTGAGACAGCTTTCTGCGGCTATCGAGCCTGTAGAAGCACACCCAGCGCCTCAAAGGACGTCACTGCACATTGCAGGATCAAGCGCAGAAAGCGCAGAAGGTGCAGTGACACCTGGACCAGAAACTGCGAAATCGCCTCCGCCAGCAGCACTGGCCGGGAGGGAGGAGAACGACCAGGAGGCGTTAAAACGCGACGCTGAGAATAGTCTTCCACAGCGGCAGCAGCAGCAGCAGCAGCAGGAGGCTGCGCAGCAGCTGCATCGGCAGGAGGAGCAGCGGAGCGACCAGCACCCGCAGAGCGAAGAGCAGCTGCTCCTGAAAAAACGAACGCCCCACAGGCAGCAGCACAAGCCGCAAGGCGAACAGCATCAAAAAGTGAAGGCTGAAAATGAGCAACAACAACCAAAACAGCCGCTAGCGCACCGTGAAAAAGATGAAGATGGTCTGTCAGAACTGCAAAACGCAGACGCTTCGAAGCTGCAGCACGGCCAGCAACGCCAGGACCAAAAGGAAAGAACCAGCCGGCAGGAGCAGCTGCTCCTTCCTGCTGAAAAGCAGCCGATCCGTGAAGCTTTGCTGCGAGGCGAACTGCCATTCAGTTTTCAGGGGCCTCTGGACAGAGAGAGCAGCGTTAGCGGCGGGAGGCTTGGCGAAGCTTCCCAGCTGATGCAAGCGGCGCTCCAGGAGAAGCGCAAAGCCTCCGAGACGCTCGTGAGCACCTTCGTGCGAGCAGAGCAGGAGCTGCATGAACACGTGGTTTCTCTCCTGCGCATGTTGCAGAGGAACGCAGAGTCAGCGAAAAGCGACTCGCCGCAGCGCCAGCACAACCACCAGAGGGCTGCCCTGCGGGCCGTTGGCGAAGAGGAAGCGTCCAAACCAGAGCAGCGAGACGAGGGTGAGGAGAAGCGCGAAGGGGAACGCCAGCAGCAAGCGCAACAGCAGACGGAGGCGGACCCCACGGAGGCAAGCGCACGGAAGCAGCAACTGCTGCTGCTCTCCGCAGAGCAGCAGGCCGTTAGTGCGGCTGCCGCTGTTCTCCGCGATGTGCTGCAGCAGGCCCAGCGTGTCGCCGCTAAGTCTCTGCAGCTGTACGTCATAGAGGGGAGTCTGTGGGAGCTGCAGCGAGCTGCAGCTGCCAAGATGCTGTGGCAGGAGCCGCCTGCAGCGGCTCGCACGGCGGGGGCAGCAAGTGGAGCGCAAGGCGAGGGGACGCCAGGGTTGGTTCCCCACACGGGGCCAGAGAGTGTGCCTTCTCGCAGGAAGAGCTACGCTTTGTCTTTTGCTGCCTTGGAAAAAAGCATGCAGGGGGCCCCCCTCGTAGAGGCCCTGCGGGCACGAGCGGGGCAAGAGGCCCTCCTGGCTGCGGATTTGGCCCTCCTCAGCAAGAGAGCAGCAAGCCAGCAGCTGGTGCCGAGTTTCTTTCCCGAGTTAGTGCAGCACTTTCCCTTGAAGGCCCTCTGAGGTGGTGCTACCGCATGCGTGAACGCATGCGTGAACGCATGCGTGGACGCATGCGCGCCAGCAGGTAGGGCAAGGAAGCAGGTAAGGAGTTTTCGGTTGACTTACCAGGTACACCTCCCTCCTTCGAGCCAAAAGGCTGCGCGGAAGGCCTAACTAAGGGTAGCTGCACCGGCAGCCTGCAGCAGCAGCAGCTGGTGCTGCAGCTGCCCGCAGACAGGTTCGCCATAGTTGCGGCGACGCAGTGTAACGAGGGCTGTGGCTCTGGCGCGGCGCGAGCGAGTCTGCGATTTCGCCATGCACGGCACGTACTCCCGTGCAGTCGAGCAGCCCGCTGCCGAAGCAGCAGCTGCAGCGATAGAGGCAAGAACACCATAACACTAAGGCAGCCGCAGACGGCAAGGCGCAGAGAGTCAGGCATAGTCAGTGCCAGCCGCTAAGGCCTGCGATAGCTGGCTGCAGTTGTATTTGCCGGCGCCGTTGTATCAGTGCACTAGAGCTCTCTCGGTGGGTGGAGGACGTATACAAGTGACAGACACTACACATCGGCTTCTACCAAAAAAGCCTGCACTGCATTGTCTTAAAAGCTTTGGCACGGCCAGAAGCCCTACTAGAGGTGCCCGAGAGCACGCAGTCTGAGTTGCGTAAGGCCCCCTCCCCCTACCTCTCAGAGGCAAACAAGGCCCTCTCAACGAGCTATCTTCAGAATCACTGGGGGAGTCTTGCAAGGGAGCTTGCAACGGCGACGGCCAAAGCACCCTCCCCGCCAGCCCTCTTCTCCCCCCAGAGAAGTGCACAGGCCTCGTGGGCAAAGCCTGAAAGGGCCTCATTCAATGCCGCCACACAGCCTCCTCGAAAGACATCTAAGAGAGCCTGTGAGCGGCGGTTCAGGGAGCTACGCCAAACGCGAGTCTCTTAAGGCCTCCGTAAAGTCTTCTAAGAGCGATCCCCTTGCTGCGCTTGCGTCCAGTCATATGGGGCATAGTCGCGCTTTAGACGTTCAATGTTCGACTTGTACGCTCTACAACAGACAGCACACGCACCGTGTACATGCTAGCAGGCCCTGAAGGACCACCTCGCAACTGCTGGCTCCGGTGAGCTCTGCACTAGGCGATTTCGTGCTTGCCTGGACATGGCAACACAGCATGCAGTCGAAGGCATGCCCACCGTCTACGCTCTACGCTTCGCCCTTCGGCATTTACCTGGGGTCCCTAAAAGGCCTCTCCGTCTTCTTCTCCAAAATCCCCAAGAAGACTTCACGGCCAAAACTGCGACTGAACTCCTCTCCATCTTCGATCACGTGGGCTAGCCCATCCTCTGAACCCCTCAGACAGACAGACAGACAGACAGACACGGAAATTCACACACACACACACACACACAGAGACACACACACACACATACACACACACACACACACACACACACACACACACATACACACACACACACACACACGTGTGTGTGTGTGAGCGCGCGCGCATTCACAGACACTATTGCGTACATACATAGTTTTACATAATTTTAGTCCATGCATGCATGCATGGACTACATGTATGTAGATCTTGACCCTAGCGCGGCGGCTGCTGGTCTTCGTTACGGCTGCCCCCAAGGGGGAGCGCGTTTTTGCAGACCTCCTCAGAGCAACCTGTAGACACCCAGCTAGCTGGCGTCTAAGAGAGAGAGAGAGAGCCCCTTAAGATGCAGGAAGCTTGTGGTTTACCCAGGGAAAAGTCAACGTAAATGTATGGGAATCCCTTCGGGATAGCCGCGCGGACGCCCTGGCGTCCCTTCGCCTCGATCACAGTCTTGTGACTTTGCCAGAACCCCTCAGACTCGTCGAATGCCTTCCGAAAGTATACCTAAGACGCACATCCACACCCCAAGAATTGCTCGCTTGTAAGGGGAGTTTCAGAGCCTCGGCCGTAGTGGCTACACAGGGCAAGAATGAGGTCCGCTGGGAGACGCTAAAACCCCCACTCCAACACAGCGCAACGCCTTCACCGTAAGACACGCCTCACTCGGGCTTCTTTTAGCCTCTCCGCAGGCAGAGGAAGAACCTCGATCTCAGTGTGCTCCCCCAGACCCGCCATTTGCCTCTCCGCCTCGGCTTGCTTAGGGACCGTCTCCAAGAAAAGGGGAGCCTCTCCTCTGCTTGCAAAGAACGCCACAAGCGACTTCATGTAGTTGCGCACGCACTCAAAAGGCTCTTCCTCCAAGCCCGTGAGGGCGGCACAGTGCGCCTGCGGGAAAAAGCCGAGACACCCGAGAAGAAGCACCACTGCGAGCGACACAGCTAACCAGCAAGGGCCAGCCAACTAGGAGCAAGCAAGCACGTCTCTACGGCTGGGGAACTGCAAGCTGGCGGGTTCTCGATCTCTCTGCCATGCCAACGAGCGTAGGGGAACTGGAGGGGCGAAGGCATGAGGAGGGGCAAAACGCGAGAGGCAAAGAAAAACCCGTGAGCGAGGCGCATCGAGCGGGGCGGCAGGCGGCATAGGGAGTGGCACGGGGTGTCATCTTACGATCGGAACGATGAGAAGATGGTCCGGATGGACGCATCTGTGGATGGGAGGGGTGCAAAGGAAAGCCAGGGGAGACAGCGAGAGCAAACTCTGACTCCGAGCCCTTTCAAACTCCGTGCTGTCGATACACCACAGACATTTTGTTCTGTGACACCACAGAAGCGCCCGCAGATGCAAACGCACATTTAGAAACAGACTCTTTTACAGCCGCATCAAGAGCAACTCTACCTACTTCTATCCCTTCCCTTCCCCTCACATCGCGTCCCCATACACACCGTTCCCCTCCACCCCCATGCCCGTAGGAAGACGGGCGCCAAACACACACACACAGAAACATACACACAGAAACATACACACACAGAAACATACACACACAGAAACATACACACACACACACAGACACACAAACATACACACACACACAGACACACAAATATACACACACACACACACAAACATACACACACACACAGACACACAAACATACACACACACACAAACATACACACACACACACAAACATACACGCATGCATCATTAGCAGTCTGTGTAGGGAGGGGCTAATAGGCTACTGTGCTGTACTGACTGGGCCTGGTTGAGGCGACCGCGGCGTTCGTCCTCTTTTCGCTGCCGCAGCTGTTGCTTGAGAGAGTTAAGGGAACTTGGATCTGCAAGCAGCACATCCCCTCGCAGCAAGTGCACCCCGTTCGTCCTCCTTCCGCCGTCTCGCTCCATATTTACGTGTGGTCACTACCTCCGCCCCTGCCCCCTCGATAGAATCGTATATACGTTCTTCTCGCTGCCTTTGCACTGGAAAAACTAAGCCAAAGAAGCATCTAACGTGCCGGCCAGGAAAAGCCTTTACAAACGCAGACACTGAAGAGAGAAAGAGAGAGACAGAAAGAGAGAGACAGAGAGAGAGAGAGAGAGAGAGAGAGAGAGAGAGAGAGAGAGAGAGAGAGAAGAGCGGAAGAGCACACGTAAGAACTGCAGACACATGAGGAACACGTTCGCCGTACCCCGCTTCAAAAACCAACAACAAACAAAATCTCTTTACCCTACCATTCGTTGCACGAATACACACATCCGCTGTTACTGTTATCTCTTAAAGGGGGGCACATGCGCGTGTGTGAGGAATCAGTGGAGCTGGG